GTTACACAAACAGAAACAATAAAATAGGAGGGGGAGTTGCTCTGTACACTCATAAATCTGTTAAATTTAATGTCGTAACAAATATGACCATAGCTGTGGATGGATTGTTTGAATGCTTAACGGTAGAAATTCTAAATGATAAAAAGACTAATATACTCGTGAGTTGTGCGTACCGGGCACCTGGTTCAAGTATAGAAACTTTCAATGAGTGGATGGATAAACTGTTTTCCGCTGTGAACTAACAACAATTATTTATCTGTGGTGATTTTAACATTGATTTATTAAATCCAGCCAAGCTAAAAACCATTGATGACTTCAATGACACAATGTACAGCTTGTCTCTGTATCCAACTATAACAAAACCGAGCAGAATAACATCACACAGTGCCAAAATCATTGATAACATTTTTACTAACATCATGGGGAATCAAATCACAAGTGGCTTATTTATATGTGATATCACTGACCACTTACCTGTTTTTACTTTGTATGACTGTAATCTCAAAAAAACGAAAGACTCTATGGTAAAAATCTCTAAAGGAATAACAACTGAGGAAACAATCCGTGCCCTAAATAGTAGTTTGTCGCTCCAGGATTGGACTTCAGTTTACAGTGAACCAAATGTGGACAGTGCTTATTGTAATTTTTTAGATATCTTCACTTCCCTGAATAATAAACACTGCCCTGTGAAAGAGTATTTTGTAAAAGAAAAATATAAAAAAAGCCCTTGGATTTCGAAAGGAATAATCAATGCCTGTAAAAAGAAAAACAATCTCTACAAATTGTTTATCAAATTAAAAACAAAAGAAGTGGAGCAAAGATATAAAAAGTACAAAAATAAATTAACTGACATTATAAGAACAAGCAAACGGTTATATTATCAAAACAAATTATATGAAAACAAAAACAATATAAAAGGAACTTGGGATGCTTTGAATAGCCTAATCAAACAAGGCTCTTCAAAGTTGACATATCCCGATTATTTTATTGATGAAAATGGTGAAGATTATAATATGAACAATGTAGTAAATAAGTTCAATCATTTTTTTGTTAAGGTTGGCCCTGAGTTGGCTGCTGATATTCCAGACCATGGAGTTGTAAAATCAGCTATTGAACGGAATCCCTTGTCCTTCTTCCTCTCACCTACAAACGAGCAGGAAGTGACAAACATTGTGCGGATGTGTAAAAGTAAGTTCTCTACTGATTGTCATGATATCAACATGACATTGTTTAAAAAAGTTATACTGAATATTGTAAAACCCCTAACTTATATCTGTAACTTGTCATTCCTTACTGGATGTTTTCCAAGTAAAATGAAAATCTCTAAAGTAATTCCACTCTTCAAAAATGAAAACAAACACGCTTTTACAAACTACAGACCAATCTCTCTTTTGCCTCAGTTTTCAAAAATTTTAGAGAAGCTTTTCAATTCTCGACTTGAAAAGTTTCTTGAAAAGCATCATATAATTAATGAAGGCCAGTATGGTTTTAGATCCAAGAGAACTACCTCAATGGCAATAATTGAAGCTGTTGAAGAAATTACCAATGCACTGGAGCAAAAAAAGTATGCAGTTGGTGTTTTTATTGATCTAAAAAAAGCCTTTGATACGATAAATCACTCAATCCTACTAAATAAAATGGAAAGATATGGGATTAGGGGGCTGGCTGGGGATTGGTTAAAAAGTTATTTAACAGAGAGAGTACAGTTTGTTAAAATGGGTCAGCATTTATCAGATACTCTTGGTGTTGCTTGTGGTGTCCCCCAGGGGTCAGTGTTGGGGCCAAAACTGTTTAATGTGTATATAAATGATATTTTTAGTACGTCCAAAGATCTGAATCTCATACTATTTGCAGACGACACTAATATATTTTACTGTAGTGATGATTATAATGACCTTGTAGAGACGGTAAACAGGGAACTCAATATAATAAAAAAGTGGATGGACACAAATAAATTATCCTTGAATATAAACAAAACTAAGATAATGATGTTTGGTAATCGTAATGCTATGTCTGATCAGACCATAAGTATTGATGGTACCCAAGTTGAAATCGTAAAGGAGACAACATTTTTGGGCGTAATTATTGATAGTAAATTGTCATGGAAACCCCATGTCAGACACATTAAAACAAAAATCTCAAAAAGCCTCTCAATTATAAATAAAGCTAAATTATACCTTGATGGAAACGCACTCCGTACTCTATACTGCACCTTGGTACTCCCATACCTTACGTATTGTGTTGAAGTGTGGGGGAATACTTACAAGAATACAATTAATCCTCTGATCATCTTACAGAAAAGAGCAATGCGGATCATTCACAAGGTTGGTTTCCTAGACCATACTCATAATCTGTTTATGCAGTCAAAGTTGTTAAAATTTGATGACCTTGTAAAATATAGTACAGCTATAGTCTTATACAAAGCATTCAACAAATTATTACCGCCTAACCTACAACGGTTTTTTATAACTCCAGTGCGAGCTTATAACTTGAGAGGTTTTGGATATTTTTCATTGCAGAGAGCTCAAAACACTCGTAAACGTTTCTGTGTGTCTGTATGTGGAGTGAAACTCTGGAACAAACTGGACTCACAACACAAGCAATGCCAAACTGTCCATCGATTCAAACTTTTATATAAACATCGGGTCTGGTCAAAATATAGAGATGTGGGTCTTTAATTTAAACTGCTGTCTCATAGTGTTACAAGTGCTCAATGTTTCCTTGCTATCGTTGGTTTATTTTGTTCCTTACCATTACTGGTATATTGTTCATTACCATTGTTGGTATTGTTAAATTTTCATTACATTGTTGGTATAAATTTTTGTTGCGCTGTCATACATTGTTGACAGATGTGGAAATGCCACCATGTTATAATTTGTAGAAGCTTTTAAACAAGTGACAGTGAAGTTGAGTCTGTTGAGCTCTGAGTGGGGAACTGGGGGTGGGATTAAATAAGTTTTCTTCTTCCCACTCCCTTTCAGGTGGAAGTGGATTGTTTTTTTGTTTTGTTTTGTTTTCTGCTGCATATTCTATGTTGCCCTCTGCCTGAAATAAATAAATAAATGAAAAAATGAAAAATAATGCAGCCATGTTGGTCTTTGCACAACAGCTTCTGGTGACGTCCAAACACGACTGTGACCAGGACACTCTCAGATGGCGTCAGTCGTTGTAGGATAAATGTAGAGCTCGGTGCATGTATTTGATTTTCCGTTAATGCATATCCAAATAGAGAACAGAACTGACTGTCCTCGCATTGTTTGCATATTTTCATATAAAAACACTTTGCTGAAGATTTTTAGGTCATATTTAAAGACGTTGCTCACACGCCACTTTGTCCTGTAGGTTCAACCCCAAGGCTGAATATCGGGAGTGTTTGCCGAATGCTAGCTATACTATGCTAAGCTAGCTGGAGCCAATTTCCTTATAAGGGCATTTGCTCTGGTGTTAAAGGTGTACAGGAGGATAATTCCAAATTTTAGGAAAGAGCACGAGCCCAGTTCTCCTCGTGCACGCTCTGTTTACAAGTCGCTGTTGCCATCGCTCACTTTCCAAAAAGAACTGCACTTTTACAGCTACGTCAGACTCGAAAAACCAGAAAGTGAAGATCCTTTTACTACAAGCAAACATTTAAAAAAGAATATGTGTGAAGCCAATCGTTTACACCTGAATGCTGCGTCTTAACTTTTGATTCTCTGATCTAAGAATAAATTGTATTGTATTAATGCGTGCATGTGCAGAAAGTGAAAACTTGATCCATGCTAACGTGGGACGAGCACGTACAATGGCCCTACGTCACATATCACCAGAATGAGTGACAGTAATCAGTGGTTCTCAAACATTTTACACCAAGTACCACCTCAGAAAATACTTGCCTTTCCAAGTACCACCACAAATGACCAACACAGCACAGTAACGTAGTGAGCCTAAGTATTGATCAAAAACAAGGCGGAGGTTTCATTCCTAAAGAAGTATATTTAATGTTGTCAGCCATTCTAACATTTTACACAGTTTCAACAGTAAGACTTAAATATAGGAACAAAACTAAAAACTGTGCTCAAATAATGATTCAATTAAAATTTTCAATTCATTATGAACTGCAAAGACTGTAAAAGATCATTTACTCAGAGACATGTTCATATGGTTTGGATCATTTACTCAGAGACATGTTCATATGGTTTGGATCATTTACTCACACAAATAGATATTGGTTTGTTTGGTTTGGATCAAATGATCTTTTGTTGCTCTCTGCTCCTTCTTCATGGAACGTGTTGCAAAAAGACTGGAAATTATCTGAATCTATTTCATTGAATGCTTTTAGATCCAGATTGAGACTGAGACGACCTCATTGTAATGTAACAGTTTTTATAATCTGTAATTTTATGAAATTGTGTGTGACTGTTTTGTAATCTGTATCTAACTGTTTAATAATCTGTAATTGTATGTCATTTTTGTCCAGGACTCCCTTGAAAAAGATGTTCTAATTCTCAATGGGACTTTCCTGTTTTTTAAGTTTTTATTTTTTTATTTCAGTGATTCTTTGGCGTACCACTAGAGGGAGCCCCAAAGTGTGGTTCTCAAAGTACCACACTTTCAGAACCACTGGTCTTGAGGATCCACCCAGAAAACAACAACCTTCACCATAACTTTCACTTTGTGCCGTGACAGAACAGATGTGTTTCTTTGATGGTTGCTACGGAAACCTATATATTTTACCATTAATAACAGAAAAGACAAAACAGTCTGAAACGGTTTGAAAACAGGGCATTTAGACAGATGGGCAGGGGACATGGTGGATGGAGCTGAAACAAATCCAGGTCAGTAGCAAAGTAGGAACAACAATCAAGATAAATAAAAGTCCTTTATTGACAAGCAACCTGCCTACGAGTTTCAGATGGTTTTCTCTGGTTTAGGGCAAACAGGAAATAGAGGCCTAAAGATGAAGCCGTATCATAAACGTAACTCAATCTATCACATGTCAACAAGTTCATATTTTTATAAACTTATGCAGAGTCTTTCTTTTCTGGTGCCTTGCTCCATCGCAGTTTGAAGTCAGTCCCAGGGATTTTCTCCTGGAGTCTTTCTTGGAGCTGTTTCAGAAAGAATCAGAGTGAGTGAGGTTGTACAGACTGAACATAAGACATGGACGCACCAGTTTGAGCAGCTGCTCAGAGACGGCTGCATCACTCAGGTCCAGGTCAGTCTGGATTCTCATCTGTGTCTGCAACACGGAGCGTCTCTGTTTCACTGCAAACATGAGCTCTGAGTCAGGACAATACTCTTCTGCCGACGCATCAACACTCATGTAAACATTCTGCAATAACGTGGTTTCATTCATTCAATCAGAAGGGAAAGCCGATGTAAGAAATGATTTATTATGCGTTAAACAGACACAGACACAAAGATGCTTCATGACGATCAGGAGGAATAGAACATAATTCCATCCAACAATTGAGAGAGATGGTTGATGGAAACCCAACAGACCTCAAACAGCAGAACTTTGGTCAGTTGAAACTTACAACAGTGCTTCCCGCCCCGCGCGCTGAGGTCCGAGGCCAGCTCCAGCTCGTGGTACCGAAGACGAGACTTAAAACCCGGGGACAGGGCCTTCTCTGTGGCTGGACCAAAGCTGTGGAACGCTCTGCCCCCCCCATGTCCAAACTGCTCCTTCTGGGGAGTGTTTTAAAGTAGCAGTATGTAATATTTACATGTCAAGTCATCATTAAATATTTCAAAAGGCGTTATTAAATCATGCTCTTTTCGAATACATCTTTAACTGATAACAGTAGTTCAGAGATATTTGATTATCAAAATTAGTTTTACGACCCGTAAAAGTTGTTATTGTTTTGCCGTTTGGCCAATCAGGAAGTGTCATGTAAGTCCGTGATCGGGTTGCCAGAACTCCGCGCGGCTAATCTCAGTGGTAAAATAACTTGTGGCCGCAGTACTAAAAAAGGTCTTGTTATGACTCTCAAATAATTAATGACAAAACAAAGACTAAAACGAGGAGTTATATCGGGACGCCTTCGAACAATTGAGACTGATACGTTTTCGTGTGATGCAAAATTTGCTTCTTTGAGTCCGTTCTTCAGAGAAGACGTCACTGCGTTAATCGGTGGTCTAGTGGTTTAACCTACGCAAGTCTTTCTGTATTTAATTGAATGTTATCACATTCTATGACAGACTGCTCTAAAAACGGTAAAAGACGAAGGTCAAGACGTTTTTTTGCAGATTTTGGCTTAATTGTAAAAATAATCATTTAAGACCACATGTACCCAATTAAAATAATGTTAGTCTCTTTTTGATGTGGGACTTAAACATGTTTGTCTAAAAAATAGGGAATAAATAAAATGTAAGGGTGATGTCCTCTGGAGCAAACCCTGATGTTGATACGCTGAAGAAATACGTTCCAACATCCATTCTTCCCACTCCTATTTTAGACATCAATTACTTATTTATTTTGGATCATCTATAATTACATTGCTTTTATTTTGTTTTGTGTTTTTTATCTCAAATGTCCAAATAATAAAATATATGTGAATGGAGACCATGGATGTATTATATTAACTGGATAGGGTATTACTAGCTTGTAGCTGAATAACTCACGTGCTCAGGGGATTCTCGCGGTACTGCAGACTAAACCAGACTAAATTCACGTGGGCTACCCAGAAATTTTCCCCATAGAACTCAATGCATATTAAAACAGCTCATCCTCAGCTGACAGAGAACCTACAGCTTTAATAAAGGTCGGATTTTGTGGGGATTTTAGTGTCCCTTGTCATCCTGAACTTTTTTTCTTCTTAAATCCTTCGGTTTTGTTTAAATCCACACTTTAGTGCCACAAACTCTGCTCCTCTGGCTCTCGCTCTAACTCCCGCTCTGATGAACTGCTCTGATTGGTCAGAGCGCGGCCGAGCCCCTCTGTGCACGTGCGTGAGACCCGGTGTGAGACCCACACACGCGTGTTTGGCGCAACGCATTATGGGAGATCATCCACTGCACAGAACCGGGAGGACCAGACGATGCCCAAATACAGGCGAGTTTCCCATAGATCTTTGCGAGTTTCAGGCAACTTCCGCTAATCTTTCAGCCCCCATGCTGTCACAAAGCGCCACTGAGCACAACCATTCATTTGAATAGGGCGCCATCTTGGATCGCCGGGGCTTGATGGAGACAGACAAACAACTGATAAAATAATTCCCTGTGTTTGCTGCTGGATTTGGTGAGTATCTGCATAGACGTCGGAACTAGGGGTGCGGGGGGTGCGGCCGCACCCCCTCCGCGTGTGCCGGGAGCGAGAAGTTATCACTATCCTGCGTTCCTTGCAGCCCAAAACCCGATCCATGCTGTCGGAGAAGCTTATGAAGCTCTGTCTGGCTAATATCTGTCGCAGCCTCTGAGCGCTCTTTCTCAGCCTTGCGCAGATTAGAGACCTGGCTACACCAGTGACGTGCGGTGGGGGATCAATCATGTGTTCATATGATTATACATCATCATATAAACCAACAGGACCTACAGGAACAGGAGCGGCTTATACACAATTTGTTTGGCTACAGCAGAATATGATTTAATGTCTGCATTGTTTTCTCATACAAAACGCAAACGTTTGTAAAAAGTACAAAGTGTGTTATGGGCCTTACCTTAGGTATTAATGAACAGCACAGACCACTTCAGTTAGGACCAGTTTCATGTTTAAGTCCAGATAATAGTTTGAGCACAGACATGTAATCCTCCATTTGGAAATAAGTTCAATGAGTTTTAAAAAGTAAAATAAACGGGTGTCTCCTCCGTAAACTCCGAGTTTTGCTGCAGCCGACTCCCGGGTAAATCCAATTTCTAAATTCAACCTTACCCTTCACCTCCTTTTCTTATGATTCATATCATCATTGGAAGCAAAACATTACTCTAAGTGCATTTTAAATTATCTTAAAATGTATTATAGGTATGTTAGCCAAACCTGTAGCTGCCCTTAGCAGAAGAAGAACAAGAAAGGAGCTTTCTGATGGAATTGGATGCAGCCAAAGTTTGGGCTCACAAGCGCCCCCTTGAGGCTTTCCTCACTTACAAGCTGTGGTTGAGCGCGATTAAGACCCATATTTGCTTCAAAAACACAATTTATGAGCCATCCTCTTAAATGTAAACATGTTGATTGTAAATTAAATATTTTTGAACTTTTTAAACTGTGATAAACAGAGAAAACAGTTTGATAGCACCTCACAGGACTCTCCCTGTGAGCTGTTGCTTTTTACGTCTCCCAAGAGAGGCTGCCTCACAGCGCCGCTCTGTCAAATCTGCAATTTCAAGGTATAAATAAATGAAATAAGGCACAGCACAAATCACTTGATAAAGTGACCAAACATTATTGTATCCATTTTATTACTTTTCTTTCTATGATCTTAGGTGAGGGCCTTGCCTGCCTCATCTGACCGCCCGTGCGTATTGAAAAAAAAAAAGTTCAGTTTGATAAGTGACTTGCTTGATATATATTGTTTATTTTGTTTTTCTTAACAATTAAGATGGTATGTTTTTATCCAGTGTAATCCAAGTATGAGTCTCTCCCTCGACTCTCCCAACAAAAACCCGCCCCCCCCTCTCAGAAAATAGTTCCGACGTCTATGAGTATCTGGCAACCTGAGTCAGGGAGAGAGGGAGAGGACAATACTGACTGTGACTGCAGTACCGCTTTTGGCCAGATTTTTACATATTGTTCCTTTAAGTCTCGTCTTAAGACCAATTTTTATGCTCTGGCTTCTAACACTGCGTGAGTTGTATGGTCCTTTTATTTTCATTTTATTTTACTTTATTCCATCCTTTTTCTTGTTATTTTTATATTTATACATATTTGCACACACGGTTTTTCATATTTGATTTTTTATTATTTTACTCTTTTACTATGGATTTGTTTTATTTAGCATTTTATTGTGCAGCACTTTGGAAACTGTTTATGAAATGTGCTATATAAATATGAATTGGATTGAACAGTGAGACTAGAGCTTTTCTAAAACAATAAAACTAAATATTAAGATTTAAAAACGCCTATGGGGAAATAGTCTGTGAATTTTCACTTCTGAACTGGAGCGGGCTGTGATGTGAGATATTTCATATGTTTGGGGCACAAACGTGTAGATTTCACCGATGGATTCCAAAAGACAATAAGTTCTGGAAGAAAAGGAAGGCTATAATTCCCAGCTCTGTAAGATTTACATCAATTATTGGCCAGACTCTTGTGTAATGCAGCCCTCTCACCCTCGACCAATCACACAGCGCTGCCAACCTACGCCAGTTAAAACAGCTGTTTAAAAGCGGAAACTTCCAACATCAAACCTTTTTCAAGCCTCGTAAGAAGTTATTCTGGACTCACTTTCATCTGCTCATATTTCATAACCACCTCCTCCTCGACCTTCTTCCCACTTTCTCATCTCAACTTTACCCTTATGCCACCACCAGTATGGACCTCATGCCACCACCAGTATGGACCTCATGCCACCACCAGTATGGACCTCATGCCACCACCAGTACCTGGACCTCATGCCACCACCAGTATGGACCTCATGCCACCACCAGTACCAAGATCCCGGGAAATTATAAGCGGCACACATGGAATGATAGTCACAGATGAAGTGGCCTAGGGCTAAACAAACTATTGAATAAATAATTTAATGAAATGTTGTGTCTGTTGCTGTAATTTGTCAGAATTCCCCCGCCCCAGAAGCAGCAGAGAGGCTGCAAACACAGCAGCCCTTCGTTCTGCAGGTCCTTTTAGTTCAACAAGAGACAAAAACCAATGTTAAAACAGTAATAGAAATGACAGATACCAAACCTGATTTCAAAAGGTTATATTGAAGACTTTGCAAGCAATATTACAAGATAACGGTCCGCGAACAGGTCTCGCTTCGCGTTCAGATAAGGAGTGGCCCCCGGGGACGTCTCACTGCTCCTTGTCAGAAGAAAAAGCAAAAAGTCCCCCGTGACCACTTCTGCACATACATTTATACTTTACATCCAAGGTCACTTGACATCACAACTGTATGGACCCTATGACTCCTTCTGGCCCGCTGCCAACGTTTGCACCTGCTCTGATAACCACTTGTCTCCCTCTTGTCCCCCTCCCATTCTCACACAGACTAACCTTGAACTCACTGCTCTTTGAGATTTACACAAACAAGTGCTAATTTGGCAACAGAAACAATACTAAACTGATTTTAATTTTAACTGGTCCAGGAGTTCAATATTCCAACAGTCCCCCTGTTGGCCGGAGAGGAACTCTTCGGACATCCATCACTCTCGTCTCAGATGGCCCATCTTCATCAGTTGATCCAGCATTACATCCTATACTGTCTAATCCCAGTCTTCACGACGATCTGTGAACTCCTAAACCACCCCATGTGACATTATGAAAAATGTGGTGGTCTTCCACTCAGCCCTTACTTCAGACCCCCCCAAAGGCCTCTGGGCGGACTGAGCATCCAACTCACCCTAAACTACATACATTGAAGTGATCCTATAAAACATTCTATATGTGGGTGTGCTGCGGTGTCTAGTCTGTGTAACAAAAACAATAGTTGCAAGAGCTGTGGAGAAAGAATATGTTTGTGTCGTGCATCAATTTGAATTATGTAATTTTTTATTTTAATTTTTAATTTTTATAATTTTTTATCGCATCCCCGATTTTCCCAAGTCCCTCTTACAATTTTGCAAGGTTATGTGCGTTATTTACATGCAAGCAGTTATACATTTTTGATTAAAATATTTTGATAATATCATAAAGCATACTCACAACTCCTCTGGTGATATTCTGACAATATCACAGGCCATACTCACCCGTTCTTCTGATGATTGTCCTTTATGGCTTAGGCTATGGTCATCAATTCTTCTGGTTCCCACTGTAGGTCCTGGGTTAGTAGCAGTTGTCTTTCTGCCACCTTCCCTTCCACAGCGGCTGTTATCACTCTGTTACATAAGGATCGTATGCACGGAATACTACCAGAAATCCCCAACAAAACCATAGAGGTTTCTTCCCTGATCTGTCTCTTGGGTCCAATGACTCACCTCTCAAGTCCACTGTAATTGTAAGACATGGTACACTTCCCTGCATAATCCCCTTTGTCATGGAAATTATTTTAGAATGGTGTCTTGCAAACTCTGTAGTTGGTGTTGGTGTCCAATCTAATCCAGTATATGCCACCATTGTCCCCCATGATTTATCTCTCATGTCATTTGTCATGTACCATTCATAATCTGAATTTTCTGCTCCCACTTTTTTCCCTTTGTTTACTAATGCTATAAAAGGTACCTGGAATGCCATATGTTCTCCCTTTGCCAAACACAATTGCACCCCAAATAGGTATTGTCGCTTTTTTGCACATGCTCCCAGTTTATCCAATTCCCTTTTTGGTCTTATTTTTATCCCTGTCCCCTTTGTAGGTTGAACTTTGCGTTCTTTCATCTGTTTGCCGGGTAAAATGTCTGAATAATCAGAAATTGAGGAATTGACACCAAGAGTTGTCTCCTTACCATAGACAGTTGTTGGTTTTGCATACCCCTGGCCTAACTCTGTTTCCCAGGCCCACATAAAAAATCCAGCTATAATCCCTATACCTACCACCATACTCACCCACTCTCGTGTCCTCAACCCTAAGAGTGTCCATGGTCCTATCATGTTGAGAGTACCTGCATGGTGAACACCTCAATCTTAAAGTCTATCCCATGCATACCAGATTAGTGTTTTCAGCTTTGATTTGCTCAATTGCTCATCTAAATAGTTGATTCTGGATCATGAATATATATATGTATATATATATATATTTTTTTTTTTATATAATCAATCAATAATTATAAAAATAATATTAATAATCAATCAATAAAAAATAATCAATAATCAATCTTCCCCCTGTTTTATCACAATCCTGTGATAAATTAAACATCCCTTATAGGCCAATTTGTCACCCCCACCATTATCACTTATGTCGGATCCAAACCACGTCAGTTAAATGCACAGTCCCCTTGATCAGCCCAATCCATAAAGTCAGAGAAATTGCCAAATTCTTCAATAACCTGAAGTCCATCGACCATAATTTCAAACCCCTGAATCCCAAAATCTAAAATGGCAATATCCTGATATTCAACATCCTGAACCTCATCGCCCTGACCTTCAACAACCCAATCTCCAATGTCCAGGACCTCAAAACCCTGTCCTCCACCATCTCTAATGTCAAAATCCTGATATCCAGACTCCTGAACCTCAGGGGCCAGAACCTCAACCTCCCAATCTCCAAAGTCTGGAAGTCCAGAGCCCCAAAGTCCAAAATCCTCAACTCCCAACAGTTCCAGAAGGTCTCTCATACTATTGTCATCACTAGTCCCTATGCCATCAGACACTTGCATCACAGGGCTATCTGGAGGGACTCTATAGGTGCATTATAGGGTTGCTCCGCCCTCCCTAGAACTCCCCATGTTCTAACTAATAGAGTCAGACACTTCCCTCTCTGTCCCCCTGTCGGCTTCCTTTTCTGATGATGTAGTGATATCTTTCATTACATCAAGCAGGGATCTTTCTGGTGCACTAGTGGGCCTAGTGTGTGATATGTGCACAAATGATGACTCTGTAGTTTGTGAGTCGTCTAAGTAATATTTCAAAGTGTACTTGTATAGTTTGGAGATTTTAAATGGGCCTTTCCAAGTTAGCTGATCCCAACAATGTTTCTGGTTTTTCACATAAATGTAGCCTCCAACTGTAAGTTTGTCTTTTACAGCCTGCAAAGGGGGCTCTGGAGATTTCTGGGTCAGCGTGACAATGTTATCTTGCAGAAACTTCACTGTAGTCACCAATGTTTTCATATAAGTTTCCCTAGCATCATCAGTGGCTGCTGGAGGTGGGAGCTCCAGTGAACGAGATAAGTTACTGGGCATGTGTCTCCCATACATCAGTTGGAATGGTGACATAAAAATTGGCCTGCTTGGTTCTCCTCTTATTGCCATCAAGGCTATAGGCAGTGCCTGTTTCCAATTCATTTTTCCAGACCTACACATGTGTGCCAACCTGTTTTTCAGTGTCTGGTTGAACCTTTCAATCACCCCTTGTGATTGCGGGTGCAACACTGCTCCAAAATGCTGTTTTATATTCAGCCTCTCACATAGTTGAGTCATTGTCTGGTTCTTAAAATGCGAGCCGTTATCAGATCTGATAACTCTCGCCGGGCCGTACCTTGGAAAGATCTCTGTCAAGAATACTTTGGCTACTGATTCTGCATTTGCTTTTGCCAAAGGAAAAGCTTCAGGCCATCGTGTGAGTGGGTCAATCATTGTGAGCACGTATCTACACCCATCCGCTTTCTTATCAGCAGTCATGTCGATGAAGTCAATTACGATTTCTGCCATGGGCCATGGAGGCACTGGGTATGCTCCTATGCCTGCCTTCACAGCCCTTGCCTTAGAGAGCCCTTGACATATGTCACATGAGTCACATAGATGCTGGATGGTTGGTAGCATAAAAGGATGGAACATGTGCCGTCTTAGTTCTGAAAAAAGTTTTGAGCACTTTATGTGTGTTTCCTCATGCTTACTTTGAATGATCTGTAGTAGTTTTTTAGTAGTCACGCACGGTTTACCAAATGTATCATAGAATACTCCTTCACTGTTTTTAATGGCCCCTGCAGTTTTCCATGCTGTCACATCATACAGTGAGGGATTTTCTTGCAATATGTGTGGACTGTTCTCTTCTCTTTCTTCCACTGGTGCCTCTGTTCCCTCAGGATTGTCTTCAATAACTGCCTGCAGAGCCGTACCTATCCTGTCATACCCAGCTGTCATTTTAGCAACTCTATCAGCAAACTCATTGCCCTTTGCCACGAAGTCTCTGGCTCGAGTATGTGCTCTGCACTTGACCAATGCAGTTTTGTGACGTACATTCTTGATTTGGTCTGCCACCTTCTGCCATAATTCCAAATGTGTAGGTCTCAAATTTTTTGTTGTGATGAAATTGTCATGCAATACCCAGATTGGCAAGTGTAAATGCACTGTAGAATGCACATACTCAGAGTCAGTATATATTGTGATAGGTCCTTCTGGCCTGTTCTCCAAAGCCAGGCTAAATGCTTCTAATTCTGCATACTGAGCTGACTTCCCTGCCAGCGCCTCTGCCTTCAGTATGTTAAAATCAGGATTGGTAACAGGTGATGTTTCCCTGTCATGGATGACTGCTGCTGCGCTTGCAACCAATGCTCCAGTTTTGTCTCTATGCGAGTGTCCATCTATAAAAATAGCATGTGACCCCTCAATCTCTGACCTGCCCAACTTTTTGATCAAGTTTGTTTCTTCACTATGTTGGACCTCACACTGGTGAACTGGGCCTGAGATAGTAAATGGTAATATTGGAGAGTCTGTTGGTTCAAATGTAACTTGCATATTTACGAGTAACAGATGAATCTTTTGAGACATTGAATTTGTCAATGCAAATGTGTTCCCCTTCAAAGCTGCATACATGTTATGTGGCGTTCTCACTATCACCTCTGAGTCCAAGATTATGTGTGATGTGGAAACCAGTGAGTTCTTAAGGGCCATTACATAACGTGCACATGAGAAGTGTGTGTCTTCTGATCCTCTGAGATTGGAGCTGAATATGTACAATATTTTGGGTGCATCTGCTATTTTCTGAAACAACACTGCACAATAATAATCTCCAGTCATTGTGATTTCCATCATAATTGGGTATTTCCTATCAACGCAGTGTAAAGTCTGCACCATTGATAGTTTTTCTTTGATTGATTGAAATGCCTGTGCTTGCTCCTCAGTCCATGTCAAGATCCCATCATAATCTGTGTAGCCTACATCAATCAACATTTTCTGCAAGGGCTTCATCATGTAGGAGAAGTTGAAAATATATTTCCTGATATAGCTTGCCGTATTTATGAAGGACATCATTTCTCTCACTGTTTTTGGTTTGGGAAACTCTGATAGTTTGATCAGTCTTGACTGGTCACACATGACTCCTTCTGAAGTGAGATAATCTTTAGAAAAGATACTCTCTGTCTTACAAATGCACACTTGTCATAATCAATTTTGAATCCCTTTTCTGCCACTACTCTAAGGACTTTCATAGTGATTTCTGTACATGCCTCTTCAGATACTCCTGAGATTAGAATATCATCTACATAGGCCAGAACAAAGTTTTTGTCTGGGTCAATGTCAATCTCAGAGAGCACGTCCTGGATCAATTTGTTAAAGATCCCAGGTGCAGCGCAGTGACCCTGTGGTAAACGCGTATACACATACTTCTTCCCCTCAACTGTGAATGCCAGATACTTCCAGCACTCAGGGTGCAATGGGATGCAGAAGTATGCGTTACATAAATCAATGGTGGTAAACCATTTATGAGACGCTGGTAAGAATGCCATTGCTCTGTGTGGGTCAGGTGTGTCCAATAGTTTGTCTTGTGATCTCTCATTTAATTTCCTGAAGTCATTCACTAGTCTGCAGTATGGTTTTCCTGCCTTGTCTACTGCCAAATTGGAATATTATATGGCGTATACTCTGGCGCTTCGACAATGATTCCTGCCTTCACCAATTCTGAGACTGTGTACTTCAATTTGTCCTGGAGTCCTGCTTTAATGGGATACTGCTTCTGATAACACACTTGGTCATCAAACAGTAGTTTTATTGGCAGGATTCCCTCTGCTTTCCCGATGTCAAATGCATGTTTTGTCCATAGCCTCTCAGGTAAAGTGTGTTTCTGCTCTTCAAATAGGTTTGAATTGGTATTTTCCCTGCCATGTGTCCTTGTTCTCTGTACTTCCTGCATAGTGGCTTTATATTCAATTGGGTCATTGAATTTGATCACATAACCTCCTGTGGTTTCACTATGCAGTACAATGTATTGTAATTGTCCCTGTTGCACACACATTGGTTTTAAATCACTGGCCAATCAGTGCACACATTGGACCTAAATTCTTGGCCTCTGCTTTGGACTCAATCATCATTGTTACATGTGGTGTGGATTTGTCAACCCTAAATATTGGGAGTGTGTCTGTGTTTGAATTTGTGTTAGCAAACGCCACCCCATGTTCTCCCACCACTACGCAATTCAGCTTTTGTGTCACTTTAGGATCTCCTACTCCCTGTGTCTGGCATGCACTAGTCTTGTACATTTCCCACTCAATCAAATAGTTGTCATATGATTGTTGATCTTCTGGATGCCTAAAATATGCCTGTGTACAGTGTACGACATCTACTGGAGACCGCAAGTCCTTGCATCTCTCAGTAATCCATGGCAAAAATGGCTTAACTAGTTCATGCAATGTGTCATTGGATTCTTCACTACCCTCTAGCCAAAAAACTGTGGCTATGTTATCGTCAATTTTTGGTGTTTTAAGATTTTGTTCCTGCTGGAGCAACAGTTCAGTTTCGAGACCACACAATCCTGTATTAACATGCCCAACTCATTTGACACTTCAATTTCATTCTGGAAAGAAATATCCAATTTCAAAAGTTTTATCAAATCCCTTCCCATTAGGTTGTGGGGACAGTTTGGGGCTATTAGAAATTCATGTTGGAAAGTCTGCTTTACTCCTGATTTATAGGTAACTGTGCAGTCTAGAGGTTTTGAGTAAAAAACTCTTGTAGCCAAACCATTAAATCCAGATACGATTTTCCACTTTTGAGAGGGCTCTAGACTGCATTTTAATGAACTAAATGTTGCTCCAGTGTCTACCAACAGTTTCTGAGGCTGTCCCTCAATTGTTATTGTGATAAATTTTGGAGCCACGTTAATGCATCCCTCTCTATCTGGACCACGGCATCTTCATTTCGGTAATAAACTGAGTTGATGAGCAGCGACCTCTGGTCTTGACTCTGTCATCTTGGTGAGTGGTCATATACTGTGGCTGTGGTTGGCCCAAGACCATTGGCTGTTGTGGTTGTACCTGTTGAGGTGCCTGATACATCTGGTGTATTTGTGGTTGCTGGTATGGCTGTTGCGGTTGTGCCTGGTGCACTTGTGGTTGTTGGTATGGCTGTTGTGGTTGTGCCTGGTACACTTGTGGTTGTTGGTATGTTTGAAATGGAAACTGCTGCTGACCTCCTTGACCCTGCATGTGTTGCATTCCTCCCGTTCTGCAGTTTCTTGCTATATGTCCGTACCGTCCACACCTGTAACACTTCATGTTTGATAAATCTCTGTCCTGTCTAAATTGTCCACCACCTCTACCTCTGCTATTCCTGGGGAATGTCTGGAACCTCTGTCCTTGATTTCCATAGGGCATGTATCCATTCATTTGCCATTCATACTCTGGTTGCTGCTGTATTTGTCCAGTCTGTATAATCTGCTGTGGTTGCATCACCTGTGTCTGCGTCTGAGGCTGCAGTGGACTTGGATTACCACTAAACAACATTTCTGCTTTCTCCACTTTTTCTGGCTTTGGTTCAGATTTTTTAATCTCTTTAACTAATTCCTTAATCAGTGACAAACTATCATCAGTTTTGGGGCTGCTTTTCTTCCGAAGTAGCTTTTTAATAGTACAATATGACCTAACAAAAGCTGGCGAGTCAGTATCCAAATTTAGAATGTGTTTTTTCCTTTTCAGCTGTCGGTAGTTCTCTGAGCATCCGCTGATAGAACATCTTTTTGATCAAATCATAGGTTGGGGTGGACTCTCTTGGATACAATGCATCAAACTCCTTATTTATTCTATGCTTCATGGCCTCGGCTGTCTCTCCATCCTGCACTTCTAGATTTATGGTTTCCATAGCATTCATGGGCACAGGAAATAACGTTTCCATTTTTTCCATCACAGCTGAATACCATGCTTCCACTGAACAGCTGTTTGTGGCTCGAACTGCAACATTTTCAAATCCTGGTGACATGATTGGAAGGTGAACACCGAGGACGGTAGTGAGATCATTTAGGGTTAAATTTTGAGCAGGATAGTGTTCCAGGATTGACAACAAACATGCTCTGCCCCCATACTGCCTTGGGTCTTTCATTCTCAATTTTATAGAGTCAATTTCAGTTATAGTTAGCGGTTTACATGTCCTGATTTCTCTCCCGGACCTAGATGTCGATACTACAATTGGACACATCGACACATCTTCTCCTTGTCTGCGCCTAGCTTTCCTCTTGTTCTGTCGCCTTTCCTGTTGATAATAAATTTCCCCACTCGTACCGTCGTCTTCTGAGTGTTCAGCTGTTACAAAAGCATCTGAGCCGGTCATCAATAAATCTTCGTCTGACGAGCTTGATTCTGCATCTATAGTCTGATTAGATCGAGTAAAATAACGATGCTGTCTTTCTTTTCTAACTGTAATCGGCTTCTGAAAGCTGATTCTTAAATCTGTCTTTTTCCTAGTCCCTGAGTGCTGGTCCACTTCTTTCTGGGCCTCTCTGTCTGCGCCCCCCTCGCACCTCTGAGCTGTCACTCCTCCCGCCCCCTGCTCTCGCAGCCCTGCTCCTTTTTCTGCCTGAGAAGTATTCTCTTCAAATTTCGGACTAGAATGACTAATAAAGTTTTTTCCATTGAAACCATTTGCAAATGAATTTCCCCTAGTCCCTGGGGTATGCTGCAAGTGAGATGGGCCTCCCTGAATCGTGTGGTTTTTAAGCTCACTTTCCAGTCTTGTCAATGTGTCATTAAATTGTCTTTCAGCCACTTGTGCCACAATTTCTCCAACCTGATCAATGTGTTTCTGAAGCTGGGTAGTCTGAGCTGTAACCTCCCGTACCTGCCTGAGCGCCTCTTGGGAGTATTTTTGATCCAGACTCTCCTCTCCTGTGCTAGTCACGGTACATTTGATTGGCTCTTCAAATGTAATCAATGGAGCCATTGTTGCAGAATCTTTACTTTTCACTAATTCTGTTAAATCTGGATACAATGGAGCATACGGTGGAGGGGAAGAATCAGGAGCTGTACTTTGCAATTTGGCAGCAGTCATCCATTTCTCATTTAGTTTGATCATCATTGAAATCAGAGTAACCTCATCTGTCAACTTTTGAATTTTCTTATTTTCTAACGGCTTCTCTCTTTGCATTTGAGAACGTTTCTCCAAAACTAATTCTCTTAGTTGTTTCATTAACCCTTCACTTGGGGGTGAATTTGACTTAGCTAAAATACCATCTTTCTTTTTTGATTTTAACCATGTTCTAACGCTCCTTGTTGTTGTATTTTTAATCTCTGTTGTCCCCTCTAAATACTGTATAATCCCCTTTATCCACTCATCTAATGTTACAGATGCCATGTTTTTTCTGCCGTCTAGATTACAAGCCTTGTGTTATCAATATCAATGTAAAGAATCAGCAATTGGGTGCGTAATCTTAGAGCGTCAGATCGTGGTATCTCCCCGTTCGACCACAAAATGTGGTGGGGAAATGTACGCACGAATCGTGACCCCGTCCTACGCGACCCAAATTACTGCGTTCACTGTGACCGTTTGTGCAATGGTCACTTTCAACAGAAAACATCAATCACTCATTCACACCAAGAGAAAAATTAAAAAGTGAGAAAAGTTAGACACTGTCCCTGTCCTTTCCCTTATTGTCAATTAATTAAAACACACAGTTTTCTCCTTCAACCATTAAATCACTGAGATAGCACACAGTTCACTCCTTTTAACTCATAAATCACTTAGATCCTCACACAGTCCTTTTAGGTTGACTATCAATCACTGAGATAACACACAGTTTTTCTCCTTTTCTTAAGTCACTTAGACTTGAAAACTATTATCCCAATAAATATAACATACTTGCAAGCAAATCCTTCAATATTTACCCTACTTTTGTTTGTTTGTTTTTTATTTTTAGGTCTCAGGTCAGGTGAAAGGAAAGATTAATTAGTTGGTAACAACTCTTACCGTTTTACTTTGGCGCAAATTAATCTTTTCTTTGACCGGTCCTAGTGTCTCCTGTCGAATCCTGTTCGAGCGACGCCAAGTTCTGCTGTAATTTGTCAGAATTCCCCCGCCCCAGAAGCAGCAGAGAGGCTGCAAACACAGCAGCCCTTCGTTCTGCAGGCCCTTTTAGTTCAACAAGAGACAAAAACCAATGTTAAAACAGTAATAGAAATGACAGATACCAAACCTGATTTCAAAAGGTTATATTGAAGACTTTGCAAGCAATATTACAAGATAACGGTCCGCGAACAGGTCTCGCTTCGCGTTCAGATAAGGAGTGGCCCCCGGGGACGTCTCACTGCTCCTTGTCAGAAGAAAAAGCAAAAAGTCCCCCGTGACCACTTCTGCACATACATTTATACTTTACATCCAAGGTCACTTGACATCACAACTGTATGGACCCTATGACTCCTTCTGGCCCGCTGCCAACGTTTGCACCTGCTCTGATAACCACTTGTCTCCCTCTTGTCCCCCTCCCATTCTCACACAGACTAACCTTGAACTCACTGCTCTTTGAGATTTACACAAACAAGTGCTAATTTGGCAACAGAAACAATACTAAACTGATTTTAATTTTAACTGGTCCAGGAGTTCAATATTCCAACACTGTGTAGTCTCTTCAGATTGAATTGTTAAAAGCTGTGAGCCTGGGCCTTAACCTCACCTCCTAATGCTTTTGAGATGTGGCAACAAAACTATTGAGTGTTTGTCAAGTCTTTGAGAAACTATACCTTCATGACAGACAAAGCTTTGTGGTTCAGAGCAGGTGTCGTCCTCCATTAGGCCGTCTTCATTCATGAGGACACAGTGCTCATTGTTATCCATGTTGTTGGGTGATCCAAGTTTCCAATTCCTGAAGCTGCTGTTGCTGAGGTCCGACCAGAGCCATATGTTTCGGTACAGACCAATCCAGGCATAAGCCACTCCAGCTGAAGCCGTCATCGCAGCCTGGTTCTCCTCTGCACTCTCGATCTGAGCCAGGTCCTGGTAATTCTGTCTGCACATGCTCTGGCAGCCGAGCCATGTCCTGCTATAGTTACTGACCAGAATGAACTGCTTGACACCTTCCTGAACTAGACACAGAAACACAACACAATAGAAGCTTAGTATGAAGTGTTGACAAACCAGTTCACAGTTGACTTATTTAGATCCACTGTTTTAGCTGTAAGACTGTGGTATTGAAAGCATATCACATGAAACACTCACCTTTGAAACAAAGACAATGTGCATTGATAGGGCATAAAATGTCGATCCATTTGCTATCTGCGATAATAACACATGCTTCTTTACCAGACCATTTATCTGGATCTGCTGTGTTCCAGTTCTGGAAGCCTCCAGGGCTGGTGGCCCCAGTGACAGACCATCTCCAGGAGTTTGAGGCGTTGGTCATGACTTTAAACCAAGCAGCAGGGTCATCATGAAGACCAATCCAAGCCACCTGACCAGCCGGGATGTGGACTCTGCTCAGGTCCTCCTCTCTCTGTATTGTGGCCAGGTCAGTGAAGTGCTCTCTGCAGTACTGCTGAGCCTCACTCCAGCTTTTGGACTGCTCGATGAAATGGTACTCGTCAATCAGTTCATGAGCAAATGTTAAGAAGATTGTTCCATGACCTAGAGATGAAGATAGATAGATACTTTATTGATCCGCGTGGGAGAAATTCAGGTTTCCAGCAGCAGAACATTCATCCAAGTCTTTTGTACAGTCTGACAGTCGAAAGGAACAAAGGATTTATTGAAACGTTCATGTTGAAGACATGTCATTGAACTTAGAAAGCAGATTGTAAATTCGAATTATTTTTGACTAGCCATAAATCACAACAGCAGTCGTTTCCGAGGACTTTACAAAATATTTTATTCCTCACCAAGAGACAGTTTAAACATAGGAAATTTAATAGTAACAAACACATAGGAGCCATTGGTCGATAGGGAGCAGGATGACCAATGTCCATCAATGTCCGTAGATGTCCTTCGACCGCCCTACATTGGCAAAGAACAACAGTGGGAAAAAGGTGCTAAACCTTGGGGAGGACAGGTTATAAATACAGGACTCAAGCTATTTTACGTGGATTGAGGTCAGCCAATGCTAGACTGAAGCCTCTTGCACAAGTCCGAGCCGTATAAACCAGATCTGAGGGTCAGGTTCAGGGTCGTCATGCCATTTAACAGAAAATGGATCAGGGAGTGAAAAGCAATAAACAGACTACAGCTCAGGTCATAATGATGACATAAAGTAGCAAAGAAGACAGTGCTTAAGTTGCCATTCTTTTCCCAGCCAAGTGTCTCCATACAGCTTGACAGATAATCTGTGTTGTACCTAACTATGCTGAATGAAAGAAGAACGTCTTAAGCCGATCCTTGAACGTAGACGCTGTGTTAGCCTCCTTGACGTGGATGGGGAGCTGACCTCACAGTATCGAGCTTGGTAGCTCAACGCTCACACATGATCAGCCTCGCAGCGCCGTGGGTCCAGACGTGTGCAAGTAAGTAAGTAAGTAAGTAAGTAAGTAAGTGAGTGGACACTGTAGAACCTGTTCTGGAGCTGGACTTTGGACGGACGTCTTCTCTTGCCTTTTGTCGTGTTTTCATCCAAACCAGAGGTCATCAACCTTTTTAAGGATCTTAAGATTACCAAATTATGAACTTTTCCCCTTGAAAGGTTTGGTAGCCCAGCTTTAAACGCCTCCTTGGTTCAGTCTTGCAGCTCAATCCTAACTCAGAACTGCAAAAGGTTTCTAGCTGAAACAAACAGCTTGAGCTGCATAAAGCTTTCTTATTAAACATGTAGGAAGTACAACATAAGCTTGAAACGAAGCATTAAATGCACATTCTTTGTTCAGCAAAAATATTGTATGTCATAGTTTGGGCCGTTTAGAATCTCCTTTGAAGAGGAAGAGATCTTTCTGCTCCCAAAGAGCTCAACCTCCCGTCCCCTCTGTCGGGGCGTGAAGCAGGTGTGAAAGAACGAAAGCATTTCCACATCGTGTGATCGTAAAATACACTGTAAAAAAACATCTAACTGACTGAAAACATAAACAAAAGAGTGGCCATTATTTGACGATTCAATCATTTCTACTTTGTTCAGTATTTCTGTAAAAAGCAGTAACAGAAGCAGAGTCTGTAATAGACAATCCAAATGGAGGGGATCCGTTTCATTTGAGCTTTTTGCTTCTTCCAATCTCTTTTCAATCCAAATGAAGGCACATTTAGGCCTTTAGAATTGTTTTGTTAGAATGTTTTTAATTGCAATATTACAATGACATTAACTCACGTTCTGCCAGCAATTTCAGGTGATTTGACCCAACTTTGAAGTGCCACAGAATATTCATTTTTTAGACGATGTAAACACCAAGGGCACCAAATTAAAGATTAACCTCTCTGCTTTACTCTGAAAAAAAAACAGTTTGTTTCTACCTCTTACCGTTCTTGAGCTATTCGCCATAGAACAAAGCATACTTTCACCCACAACACCTGGTCTGAGCAAGAAAACAGAGAAAAGGAGCTGTATGTAAACAGGAACATATCAAGCAGAAAAGAGACTTTTAGATGCATTTTTGCTGCTTTAGTGACAACTCAAAACATCTTCACACTTGTTCTATTACAAAAATTATAAAAACATGACTCTGAAATAATACTTTTGATGGCAAATTGTTGGCAATTTATTCGCAGATAGAAAATTTTACTTTCTTCTATACCATCAACCAAAACGTCAAACAACAACAACACAAAGATCAATAAAATTATAGCTGTATAAAATAGAATGAAGCATGTGAATTTGAGTGTGTGTGTGTGAATGTCAGTGTGCGAGTGAGTGTCTGTGTGTGTGAGTGTCTGTGTGTGTGAATGTCAGTGTGCGAGTGAGTGTCTGTGTGAGTGAGTGTCTGTGTGTGTGTCTGTGTGCGTGTGAGTGTTCGTGAGTGTGTGTATGAGTGAGTTTATCTGCTTTTTCAGTCCTCCCAGTAGTTCAGCTTTGAGTTGTAGAGGTTGAAACACTGTGTGCAACGGAACACGACACGCTGTGTACCATTTGTAGTTCTCCCTCCGTGAAGATGAGCTCCAGAAAGTATGGATCAGATGAATCCAGCTCCAGAAAGTCTGGATCAGATGAATCCAGCTCCAGAAAGTCTGGATCAGATGAATCCAGCTTCGCAGCCTCTGTCCGCAGTCTCTGAGGTCCAGGAGCTCCTGTGAAGGGCAACTGACTCGGCTCCCACTGATCCTCCTGTCAGCCATCTTCCCCAGAGCTTCCGGGTGACGAACGTGCTGGAAATTGGATACACACAATAAATATATTATACAGTGAATTTGTTACAATAAATCAATACATAAAATACAATGAAGGCCTTCCTCCCACATTATTGACTGACTGCTTTTGGACGAAACAAGTATACTTGTACATTTTTTTTTTTTTTTTTTTTTTTTTTTACTATATTATTATTATTATATTATATTGCCATGGGATGTACAAGAATAGAAATAGTAGTCCTTTTACCTTTTTTGTGCACAGCAACTGCCTCTCGATGCACCACCTGTAAATAATATAAATTTGTAAATCACTATACCAGGAGAATATATACAAAAATATGTACAATGGTATGAGGAGGCATTATCTTTACCTCCATGCCCTGTCAACCCCAATGGGGGAGGGCTCTTTTATCAGAATCTGTGAATGAACACATTTCATTCAGTCAGAGCTATGTCACTGCAACAAAATGTTCAAGTATGAAATAACTAAACATAAAAATAATAAATACAACAATGATAAAACACATCACTGGCATTTACTAAAGAAACAGTAGGATTTGAGCGCTGTGTTACTTAGCAGATCAGAGCAAGTTTCCTCCTCTCAAGTTAGCATATTCTAGGCAATTTAGCAAGTTCTTACCTTCGACTCTTTGTGGAGCTTCTGGAGAGGATGCTCTGCTGGTTTGAGACTGCAACCACTCATCCGATAAATCATGATCAGGTTCTCTGAACGAATCCGAGGCATCAGTAACAGCAGCAGCTGATACGCTGCGAGAGGCGGAAGGTGTGTCCCTGCTCCGGGCTCTGGGCTGCAGAGACGGACCTCCACCGGGGTCTCCACTCTCTCCCCTCTCAACCTCACTCACTGATCCGCGAGTCAATCTCTGAAGCAGTGTACACTGCTTATAACTATTCTTTTTCGCCATCACTCTTTCTATACTATCGCTAAACTAGATCGCTGATCCGTCTCAATGCTACAGCAGCACGCTCTCCAAACACTCCCACACTCCTCCTCCTCCTCTCCACTGACTTATGACCTCTCCTGTGGTGCAATACTGCATCCTACTGGTGTTGATTTATCATTACAGGTACATTTGCACTATATATCAGTATTGTGGGTCATTCACAAGGTGCGCCAGACATTACTGTAGCCTCCCGTGTAATAACATGAAAAACTCGTCAAACTCGTCATGGGCAGTGAGCGTTACTATTCAACATGACGAGTTTTGTCGTCATGGGCAGTGAATGAGTTAAAGTGATCAATCATAAAATATTTGAAGTGTTTGACAGCACTAGTAATAATATTTTTTTCTTACCGTAAAATATACAGACCAACAGAGCTTTGTAGTCCATGTCTGATGACCTCACCCTGCAGAGACAGAAAACCACAGACTCTGATGACCGCACCCTGCAGAGACCGAAAACCACAGACTCTGATGACCTCACCCTGCAGAGACCGAAAACCACAGACTCTGATGACCTCACCCTGCAGAGACAGAAAACCACAGACTCTGATGACCGCACCCTGCAGAGACAGAAAACCACAGACTCTGATGACCTCACCCTGCAGAGACCGAAAACCACAGACTCTGATGACCGCACCCTGCAGAGACCGAAAACCACAGACTCTGATGACCGCACCCTGCAGAGACCGAAAACCACAGACTCTGATGACCGCACCCTGCAGAGACCGAAAACCACAGACTCTGATGACCGCACCCTGCAGAGACCGAAAACCACAGACTCTGATGACCGCACCCTGCAGAGACCGAAAACCACAGACTCTGATGACTGCACCCTGCAGAGACCGAAAACCACAGACTCTGATGACCGCACCCTGCAGAGACCGAAAACCACAGACTCTAATGACCGCACCCTGCAGAGACCGAAAACCACAGACTCTGATGACCGCACCCTGCAGAGACCGAAAACCACAGACTCTGATGATCGCACACTGCAGAGACTGAAAACCACAGACTCTGATGACCTCACCCTGCAGAGACCGAAAACTACAGACTCTGATGGCCGCACCCTGCAGAGACCGAAAACCACAGACTCTGATGACCGCACCCTGCAGAGACCGAAAACCACAGACTCTGATGACCGCACCCTGCAGAGACAGAAAACCACAGACTCTGATGACCGCACCCTGCAGAGACAGAAAACCACAGACTCTGATGACCGCACCCTGCAGAGACAGAAAACCACAGACTCTGATGACCGCACCCTGCAGAGACCGAAAACCACAGACTCTGATGACCGCACCCTGCAGAGACCGAAAACCACAGACTCTGATGACCTCACCCTGCAGAGACCGAAAACCACAGACTCTGATGACCTCACCCTGCCGAGACCGAAAACCACAGACTCTGATGACCTCACCCTGCAGAGACCGAAAACCACAGACTCTGATGACCGCACCCTGCAGAGACAGAAAACCACAGACTCTGATGACCGCACCCTGCAGAGACAGAAAACCACAGACTCTGATGACCGCACCCTGCAGAGACAGAAAACCACAGACTCTGATGACCGCACCCTGCAGAGACCGAAAACCACAGACTCTGATGACCGCACCCTGCAGAGACCGAAAACCACAGACTCTGATGACCGCACCCTGCAGAGACCGAAAACCACAGACTCTGATGACCGCACCCTGCAGAGACCGAAAACCACAGACTCTGATGACCGCACCCTGCAGAGACCGAAAACCACAGACTCTGATGACCTCACCCTGCAGAGACCGAAAACCACAGACTCTGATGACCTCACCCTGCCGAGACCGAAAACCACAGACTCTGATGACCTCACCCTGCAGAGACCGAAAACCACAGACTCTGATGACCTCACCCTGCAGAGACAGAAAACCACAGACTCTGATGACCGCACCCTGCAGAGACAGAAAACCACAGACTCTGATGACCGCACCCTGCAGAGACAGAAAACCACAGACTCTGATGACCGCACCCTGCAGAGACAGAAAACCACAGACTCTGATGACCGCACCCTGCAGAGACCGAAAACCACAGACTCTGATGACCGCACCCTGCAGAGACCGAAAACCACAGACTCTGATGACCGCACCCTGCAGAGACCGAAAACCACAGACTCTGATGACCGCACCCTGCAGAGACCGAAAACCACAGACTCTGATGACCGCACCCTGCAGAGACCGAAAACCACAGACTCTGATGACCGCACCCTGCAGAGACCGAAAACCACAGACTCTGATGATCGCACACTGCAGAGACCGAAAACCACAGACTCTGATGACCGCACCCTGCAGAGACCGAAAACCACAGACTCTGATGACCGCACCCTGCAGAGACCGAAAACCACAGACTCTGATGATCGCACACTGCAGAGACTGAAAACCACAGACTCTGATGACCTCACCCTGCAGAGACCGAAAACCACAGACTCTGATGACCGCCCCCTGCAGAGACCGAAAACTACAGACTCTGATGACCGCACGATGCAGAGACCGAAAACCACAGACTCTGATGACCGCACCATGCAGAGACCGAAAACCACAGACTCTGATGACTGCACGATGCAGAGACCGAAAACCACAGACTCTGATGACCTCACCCTGCAGAGACCGAAAACCACAGACTCTGATGATCGCACCCTGCAGAGACCGAAAACCACAGACTCTGATGACCGCACCCTGCAGAGACCGAAAACCACAGACTCTGATGACCGCACCCTGCAGAGACCGAAAACCGCAGCGTGAGCTCTGTGTCGTAACAGAGGTAGACGTGTGGCTAAGATTTATAATGTAATGTTTGCAATGTATTTTTATGGGATTTTACACCTTACCCAAGGACTGGAGTTGGAAACAAGCTTTAGAGAGCACCAAAACATAGATTTGTTTAAGCCCATACCAGTGAGTGTGACACGAGCGGTTACTGAACTCGTTGGACCAAAACTTCATCCATGAGCACTTCTCTATGGGGCTTCATTGAGCTACGGTTAGCATTGTCCAGCTCTTTACAGTCTATGTGTGGAAGACTGGGTTCACCTCAGAAGCAAATGCACCAGTCCTCATCAAGTGAACCCACTCAAACCGATCTTTGCCTTTTCAAAAGTATTAAATAATGAGAAACAATAAAACTAGGAGACATTTTTAGAATGAGATGTTAAGTTAATGATTAATTCTAACATTTCCGTGATAAAAAAACAAAAACGTCCCTAAAAGGTTTTGACCAATTTTAACCATGATTCAGTGAAATAAGCGGTCTATGGCCTTTCACAAACACATTTCAGACTTTAGATTAGATTACAGATTACATTCATGGTGCGCTAAAAAATTTGGCGACAGTAGCTCAGTTGGTGGAGCGTTGGCCTTTGAGCCAGAAGGTTGTGGGTTCGAGCCCACTACGGGACCTACTCCACCTACTGATGTCTGCTGTCGTTGTGTCCTTGGGCAAGACACTTAACCTCTGGGAACAGCAGGTGCCACAGTGGGGCGGCTGCAGCTGTGAAGTGCCAAGCTGTGGTTGTGTCCTTAGGCAAGACACTTCCCCCACATTAGAATGAGTCTGGTGTGTGTGTGAATGGTTGCTGGTGGTGAGAGGGGCCGATGGCACAGACTGGTTTCGTCGCTTCTGTCAGTGTGCCCCAGGGCAGCTGTGGCTACAGTAGTAAATGTAAAGCGTCTGCGTGTCTAAAAAAGCGCTGAATAAAACCGATGCATTATTGTCATTACCGCCATGAACAAACTTTGGACAAACCATTCTTGAACCACAAAATGTTTACATTTATATGGAATAATAGACCAGACAAAATTAAAAGACACTATTTGTGCAACTCACCTGAAAATGTTGGATTCATGTTAAAAGATATAGAAATCATGAACGTATCTCTGAAAGCCTCCTGGATTTATAAAAACTCTAATCCCAACGCTGACCAAAGCCTACTGCATTTTATATAGAGCACATTTCAGAGTAACTTATTATTAAATTGAAGCCATGCAACAAAGATGAGACACACTGTTTGGTGACTGTGTGTCTGAAATATACAATAATAAAGAGTGTTTCTTACCTCACGGCTGTCGCTCTCAGAGTCTGGTGTCGAGAGATCAGTGTAAAGCATCTTCTTGATTCACAGCCTTTCATTTACATATTCAGTCTGTATTCGTGCTGCATATTTGTTTGACGTGTTTGTCTTTTCATTTGCAAGGCTTAAAGTCAGGATGTTGGTCTTTGGCACGTTCCTTCCGCTGTTCAGAGCAGGGCAGAGATCTCAGCCTGTAACCGTCAAACAGCCCTGTCATAATAAAATAAACATAACATAACTCTAACAGAGGCAGGTCTGGCTCCCATAGAGTTTGCAGATGTCAAATTTCCAGGGGGCAATTTCAGAACACGCCGCGTTAAAAGCCAGAGAGTAGAAACAGAGTAGAAATGTGTTTTTAGACGAGATTTAAAACATTCCAACAAGGAAGTGTCTCAACATGGGGGGGGTGGCGGGGGTGGGGACGGTGGAACAGCGCTGGTCAAGTCACAGAGAAGGCCCGCAAGCTGGAGCTGGGCCTCGGACCTCAGAGCGCGGGCATCATTTGGATGAGGTCCGAGATGAGGGCTCACGAAATGTGCTCAATTTTTTGGTTCCTGTTAAAAGCTGCAGAGTTCTGGACTATCTGTGAGTGTGAAAGTGCCTTCTGTGAAATTCCGGGATAAAGTGCATTTACAGTTGTTCAGACGTGAAGAAATAAGTAAGTTTATACGACTTATTCAAATTGTTTAAAAGATAAAAAAGGTTTAACCTTAGATAAAAGACAAAGGTGATGAAATCCCAAATACTTATGTTTGTGCTTGTGTAATGTGACCACATTTGCAAACGTTGATGTTGTGTTATTGGTTTTGTTAGCCGCAGTATTTGGAAACGTCACCTCGGTAGCAACTAATGTGGATCCAATAAAACAAATGAGAGCTCATTTTGTTATTCAAATCAGTTTCAGAGAAATAAAGCCAAGCCAAGACAGGAAGGTTTACCTACGATAATCCTCAGCCGTCTCTGGAGCACGGATGGAAATGGGAGGGATCTTCCTCTCATGCGACTGACACAAAACACAGCTGACAGACCCACAGTCAATCAGCAGAGAATAAAAAGTAATAATAGTAATCTTTATTTATATACCGTCTTTTCACTGCAGATCTGAGTCTCAAAGCGGTTTACAATTGTTAATTTTTGGGCATTTGTCTCTCACTCCACACAGAGATGGGAGCAGAGTCGCCAGTACAGGAGGCGCATGCCAGAACTATTGGACATATTTTTAGTGGTAGGGGAAACCGGAGTACCCGGAGGAAACCTACGCAGACACGGGGAGAACATGCAAACTCCACTCAGAAATGCCCTGGTCCGACCGGGATTCGAACCCAAGGCTAAAATGACACTAAAACACTAAAAAAAGGACGGGCCAGATCTTTCTGCTCTTCTGAGGTGAAAGCAAAATGTCTCAGAATGAGTCAGAGGCACTCGGATGAAACAGTCGATGAAACTGGAACTTTTCTCTGGACCTACTGCTTTCTCCTCAGAAGAGCACCGGCTTCTAACGATGGCCCCGAGGACTCCTAACCTCTCCCTCTAATCAACAGAACAGGTTTATGTTCCTCTTGTTTGATAAGTGTCTCAGATTGTGTCCACTAGATGGCGTCTGTGTGCTGAAGGTGACAGGGCAGAAGAGGGCAGACCTCACACCGCTGTGTCAAGGACCGGGAGTGATGGCTATTTATATATTTTGGGGCGACAGTAGCTCAGTTGGTAGAGGATTGGCCTTTGGGCCTGGAGGTCGTGAGTTCGATTCCCACCATGGGACCTACTCCAACTGCTCCCACTGATGACTGCTGTCGTTGTGTCCTTGGGCAAGACACTTAACCCCACATTGCCTGAAGCCCCCCGCTGAAAGATCAAGGCTGTTTCACAATTGACGGAGCAGCCATCTTCCTGTGGACTCACCCCCTGCAGAAGATCAGTGAGGGACTGGTGCTATGAGCGTTGGGTGGCAGCTCTCGTTGCCACCCCCCCCCCGCCACCCCCCCGACCCGACCCAGAAATGGACAAAGGGGTTGAAAATGAAATGAAAAAAAAATTAAATTAAAAATATTTATCCATCCATCCATGTTCTACCCTTTAATCCATTTCTGGGTCAGGGGGGTGGCAGTCAGAGATGCCACCCAAGTCTCATAGCACCAGCCCCTCACTGATCCTCTGCAGGTGGTGAGTCCACAGGAGGACGGCTGCTCTCTGAGTGTGAGCATAGCCTTGATCTTTCAGTGGGGGCTTTGGGCAAAGTGGGGTTAAGTGTCTTGCCCAAGGACACAACGACAGCAGTCATCAGTGGGAGTCGGTGGAGAAGGTGCAGAGGTGGGAAAATATTTATATATATATATATATTTATTATATATATATATATATATATATTTATATATATATATTTATTTATTTATATATATATTTATATATATATTTATTTATTTATATATTTATTTATATATTTGAAAGGGACAGTACACATTCATGAACACACAGGAGACATTAAATTTATTATATATGTTTGTAGATGTTTGTGTGATGTGATTGGATGAAAGAAAAGAGACAGAGTGTCATAGTGTGGATTTTGATTTTGTATTTTGCTTTTATTTTGAAATAAGTTCTGTGGTTTTGTTTCAGTTTGACTTCCAGTCCTGTTTTCCCCTGTCTTGATTGTCTGCCCCGCCCTGATGTGTTTCACCTGTGTCTGTGTCTATATGTACCCTTTGCTTCTCTCCCCTTGTTGCTGCTTCATTATTTTGTCATGTTCTGTCCTGGTCACTTTGGATTTCTAGAGTTTGTTTTTTGCCTTGGACTTTGTTTTATTAAAAGCTTTATTTTGGCACTCCTGCATTTGAGTCCTCACTCAGTTCACCCCGTGACAGAGTGTCTACTTATATAATGATATCTGGGGTGATAAATAATGTGACCAAAAATTATCCTTCTTCTGTTACAAAGGTAAACATTTAGAGATTTTATCCTTGCTTCTTCCCCGGGCGCTGTACGGCGACTACTGCCCCTGATCAGGATGGGTCAAATGCAGAGGACAAGTGCACATTGACATTCATTATTATGCTAAAGCTAGAGATTTAAATTAGTATAAAGTTATTGTTCTTTTATCTTGTGCTGTGTGCTCCTCATTCTTACTGTCCTGTAACTGGGGATACAACACTGACATTTCCCCACGGTGATACAAATGAAGGCTCTCCTAATCTAAATCTCAAAAAGGGTTCGGGCTTGAGGACTAAGAACTACATTTAAAGTCACAAATCTTGCAACTGTGACAATGTTGTGGGGCTGACCAATCCGATCTCGCCATTTTTCTGAGTCTAAGCATATATAAAATTTGGTGAAATATTGGCCTGATAAACTGTAACAAGGCTAAAGCTACAACACAACAGCAAGACACAGAGTAGGCTCTAAAGCAGCTAACACGGCTAACACTATGGCTAACGGGCTACAACAACAACACAACAGAAAGGACACAGACATAATAGGCTCTAAAGCAGATTAAATCCACATGGTGTAAGGCGATTTTCCCCAGACCTCATTGTGAACTAAAACGGTTCAGCTGAGAGGGAACCTACAGCTTCCACAAAGGTTAGAGGAACAATTGTTACTTTAAACTTTGGATATCCAATAAACCCACACTAAATGCAACAAACTTATCATGAACATCAAGAGTATAGTTTCCTGTTTTATAAAACCAAATCATATTCATAAGTAATATCAATTGAATGTTTGTTTTCTCTTATCTACACTTTGTTCTAACAAACTCACTTTTGCTTCATCAGTCGCATCATTGGGCGTTAAAGAATACTTCCTGATCGCAATTTTAAAGTCCTGGTCCGACGCCCAGTCCTACTTCAGACAGAACTATCTAGACCTGGCCACGATCCAGAACTCTGCAGAAAACCAGGAAGTGACGGACATTCTGGCCTCCAAAGGAGGACTAGCATGGATCGGTCTGTACCGGGTCCCCTGGAGGTGGTCCAATGGCAGCCCCAGTACCTTCAGGAGGTGGTCAACAGGGGAACCGGATAATAATGGATTAGAATTCTGTGGTTTCCAAAAAGCGGAAGGCTGGGGTGATGCTAGCTGTAGCCGTATTGGAAACTTCGTATGCAAAAAAGGTAACACAAAAAGGCAAAGACGATTAAAAATACATTCTAGAACAAATGGACCCATGACGTGCGACTTGGACCTTTTACAGCTTTTCAGAATTAGAAGCTGTAGCATGATACTAATCTGGTGCAGCCATCTTTTTGATGAAATTGTACATTTCTCCTCTGTGACATAAATAAAGCCTACTCTTATCTTAATTGCACATTGTCCTTAAATAAACAAACACAAACGTATTTCATTAAACGCCCTCGGACAGGCCACGCCTCCTCAGACTGACTACACCCTCCTGAGTCTCGGGTATGAGCCAAGGGGAAGGCCCCCTTGTCTCTGTCGATGGTCCTCACTCCCAGCTTCAATCGCCTCTTGTCTCCATCTTTTGTATTTCTGTTTCATTATAATAGTTTTCATTGGTCTAAAACAACTGAGACCACTCAAAAAAGTGGTAATTATCCAGCTCTAATTTCTTTACACTTTTTGTTTTCGATTAACATTCTAAGTCTTATACTTTAGGGAAAAAATAAGGATTTATTTTTTATTTTTTACAGATTCTGTTTTAGTTGGTTACAAAGCGATTCATAAATTTTTTTCCAGTAATTGCACATGATATTTGTCCATTATGGCGAGTAAAAAACACCTAAGAAGCTTTCAATACTTACTTATTGCTCTTTTCATCTCCACAGAGGTCAAGTCAATCATCAAGACTAAAATAAGACTACAGACCGCCGCCAACCTGTCCAACCCCGTTGTTCAATCCACTTTACTGAAGGAGGTAAGATTCCTCAAACACTTTTTCATTTTGACAAGACCTCTTCATTTGGTTATAGTCTTTTGATAGTCTGGCCTTAGCCATTCGTAAACTCCGGTCAATGATCATTTCTCTGCATTTACCGTCTGAGTCTAGTCCCTGTGTCTGAATTTACATCGGTTCAATCACATACGACCAATCAGAGAGCACGGTAGGCAGGTGTTGTAGTTAGTCGTCGGTGACGTCAAGAGTTTGTGTCACATTGGCCAGTTGTGGCGGCGAAGAATGCGATAGTTTTCTATTATTTCTAGTAATCAGTTCTGGTTCAATCAAGAAACTGAAGCCGGAGCAAGAGGAATGTTTATCAAATGAAATCGCTGGCAAAGATTGTTGAGCTACTCCCCACGTGCTCCGTTGGTGGCAAAGATGGCTAAAGCTAGGCTACATGTAAATGCTAAAGCTAGGCTAAATGCTAAATGCCTCACTCACTCGGGCACATTACATACGTCACAGTAAACTCAGCTCAAATATTTCAATCTGCAAAAGGAGTTAACCCCTCTCACCTGTTAACGGAGTCAATGGAGCAAACCCAGACCGTGGTACAGAATGAAATGTTGGTGTGTTGGTGATGAAACTATGGTGTGGTACAACCAGGCTAGTCTTTTGACTGACATTACTATTTATTTCAGTTTATTTATTTACTTACACAGGGCAAAGGAATTCTTACCAATCAAATCCTTTATCAATGCATGTGTCGATGTCTAAAGCAGTAAGCGGTTATTATCAGCCCAAAGCACCAAATAGTGACAGTTTATTCCGTTATTTTTCTAATTTCCAGAATGTCTCTTCTCTCTCACTTTGATGCACACGTCATTTTTGTTTTATATTGTTTTCTTTCAGCTGGGAGGGCACCTGGGTTTCACTGCACGATGGAGCATCCCACCCACAAAAGAAAAGAAGACGTCTAAAACTGAACCAACCCGTCCTCAGGACTGCCCTTTGGGTCCTTAAAGGAACATCAAGATTTTGAGTACTTAAGCAGAACAGTTTATAAAACATATAATCCTGGTTGTTCTAAGAATACTACTTTGAAAAGCGGCGTGTGTTGCTTTTCTTTGTGTGTTTAAATAGTTACTGCATTTACAACTAAACCATTCAGAACCAGCCTCCACAACCTGGCAACCGGACGAATGCAGAGATAGCTAGAGCCCATTTCCTTATATGGGCATTTGTTCCGACCTTGTTAGCTTGTGCACTGCTATGATGGTTGCTATGATGGTTGCTAAGGTAAGATGGAGTTTCCCAAGTGAATGAAGGAATCTATTTGGTCAGGCCTTGTATGGCTCATGGCTGGTTTTAAAAAGACATTTCTGTCAAATAAATGTTGGTTATTTTATCATAATAATCCATCCATCCATCCATTTTCTTCCGCTCAATCCCTTTCTTGGTCAAGGGGGGGCGGCAGTCAGAGGACCAGCCCCTCACTGATCCTCCTGCAGGTGGTGAGTCCACAGGAGCTGAGATCTTCCAGCAGGGGCTTCAAGCAAAGTGGGGTTAAGTGTCTTGCCCAAGGACACTTATTTTACAATGATTTCTTTTCCTCGTGACACAAGTGCAGCAGAAAGAAATATACAGGACACATTTCTGCATCAGAAAGATGATTAGATACTGGATCTTCATAACATGTGTAAGAGCGGGCGGCACGGTGGCTGAGTGGATAGCACTCTCGCCTCTCAGCAAGAAGGTCCTGGGTTCGAATCCCGGCCGGACCAGGGCCTTTCTGAGTGGAGTTTGAATGTTCTCCCTGTGTCTGCGTAGGTTTCCTCCGGGTGCTCCGGTTTCCCCTACCACTAAAAATATGTACAATAGGTCTGGCATGCGCCTCCTGTTCGGCGACCCCACTCCTGTCTCTGTGTGGAGTGAGAGACAAATGCCCAAAAGATAACAATTGTAAACCGCTTTGTGACTCTGGTCTTTGAAAGGCGGTATATAAATAAAGCTTACTTACTTACTACTTACTAAATGAACACGTTTTCTTTCTAATTGTCGTGGCAACACATGCACATAGCAGGAAATGCCTAATTCTGTCTTTTAAAAAAAGAAATTAATTAATTCCATTGTTCTTGGAGTGTTTTTTGTTCCATCCACGCTACTATCCATCTTAACACATAATTTGTGCAAACTTGTCTTTGCTTTAACTCATGAGAGAATAATTAGGATTAGGAAAGTGGGGAGATGGGTCTCTTGAGAGGTTTCTCCTCGTAGCAGGCTCATGTAGGGTAAGAAAGTGAATGTGGAGAGGGGAGGCTTTGTACCAGTTTGTGTCGGTATTAAACGTCGCAAACGTAGTCCTAAGCCTCGCCTACTCCTGGTTGAATGGATCTAAATTTAAGTAAGAGGGGCACCAGCAAGAAGTTGCAATTGAACTAGTCCATTCTGCCTCGATCAGTCTCATAATCTGATAGGTCTTGAGTTCTATATCGGCCAGGGATATCATGAATTATACAAAGAACGCTGACGACTCTTAAAAGTTAGCGTGGGTTTATTAACTACATATAGAAACGGGAACGGTAACCGGGAGGGATCACACAAGTATGATAAGTCACATGAACAGGAATGTCAGAAACACATCACCATCACACACAATACAACTACAGCAAGTCTTACTGTTACTGCCAAGTCCCGGAGGTGAAGATGCTTTCTACCCGTTTGGGTCAGGCGCTCAAACACTTCAGTCTTTCCCACACACGGGAGCAGGGAGCGGGGATCGGTCCCGGGAAGCCCAGAGGTGGCTTGAGGCGCGATGGTCCACGGTGCTCCTTTTTGGTGGGAGTTGGAGAGCAGTTACGCCGCTGCGGGACAGGCAAGTCGAGTTCAGCTCGATGGGAAAAGGATCGGCCATTTGTCCGGGCAGCGAGCTCCAACCGGGTTGAAGTTGTGGACCCCTGGATTGCGCAGGGGAGTGGGCCGCGCTCCAAGACGCGGCCCACTGGCCCCGAGGAAGTTTCAAAGAAAGTTCCCAAAAGGTTCACAAGCAAAAGTTAACACACAAAAAGTTGCTGTGTCTCTGTTTTTGTTCCGGCTCTGGGGGCGTGTCTTATGACGTCAACTTTCCGCGCCTCCAGAACTCCTTTCATGAAATCATAGTTTTAACCACATACACGTTACTTAGACATAGACACACAACACACCTTGTTCACAGACAATGGTACACACGTTTTCTGATTTAAGATGTTAGCAAAACAACATATTCATCCGTGGTTTCAGTTGTCCGTCTCAGGTGTATTGGCGTCCCGTGTCCACTGGGGGGGGTGGTGGAACGCCGTTGCCGGATGCCCATGGGTGATGTCTATGGCTTTGTTTGAGGCGATGCAGACCCACTGGCCCCCTTTGAACTCGCCGGGGGTGGGAGCCAGAGGTGTGCTCTGGGGACGATCACTGTCTTTGAGATGACTGCTGTATCTACATCATCAATAATATCAATAATAATAACATCAACAAAAGCAACATTAAAATATAATGTGTTTAATGTGCCTCCAACATCTGACATTGGAACTTGTAATCACCTGAACGAAATCGATTGAAATATGTCTGTACAGTATGTAGGTGTGTCAGTATGTATACAGGTATATATTTATTATATGTTTACTATACACTGTAATAAATAATATGGTAGTTCAACTTAAAAGTCTTCGTTGAGTTTCTGCCATAAAATGTTGAGCTCATTGAAACAATATTGGCACCTTCAATCAACTAAAACAAGCAAGTTATAAATGGTTCATAAATCATTGCTAGAAATTGTTACAACACAATAGTTTTAGTTTAAACCAACTAACATGTTATGTTGTGCAAACGGTAAACTTATATTGCTTCTCCATATTAATTCAAGTGTATGAGTTATTTAAACTCACAAGCCTAAGTTGAAATAATTTTTAACTTACGATCTGATGTCAAAAGAAAACAATGTTTTGACCTCGTTCAACATATTGGGTCAAGTTATGAATGAAATTTAACTCACTCAATGCAGTTGAACGCAACCAAATATATTTGCTACTTGTACACATAATACTAAGTTTTCAATATTGGCACCGCTTACAGTCAAATGTTAGATGAACGCAAATGTTTATGGCAGAAATTGTACAGACACTTTTAAGTTAAAGGAATGTCTACTTGTGATTTCTATTGACATGCAAAAATAGGTTTTGTAGATAAAATTCACAATCAAGTAGTCACAGCGTTTATTTTCCCTTTTTATTTCCAGAAATGTAAAACATGGAACAAGTGTAATAGCAAATACCATATTGCAAAGCTATCCAGTTTTTTTAAAACATTTCAGCTAACACATTATGTAATTCCATCTTGTACTTGTGTAGGCTTGTCACAATAGTTACTATTTTGACTTATTCAATAATGGGCTCGACATGGTCATTACATTAATATTTTTGCTAATTTTATATATTTTTTAATTACTATAATCCTTTTATCAAAGTAAATTTAGTCATGTTTCTTGCAACTTGTGTTATCAAATATTTGTTAATACATAGTTTTATAACGAGGGAATACTGAGACTTCCATTATTAAGTTCAGTTCATTATCCAGGGGTGTCAAGTGCTCTTCAATAATTATCGCAATATTTTGTAGCCTCAACATATTAAACTTCAAAAACGTTCTTATTGTGCCAGGCCTACTTGTGTTGTACACATGCTTGAAGGCACCCCTGCAGTGCCTCTGAGGCCACAAAAGCAGGGATTAGAAGAAGTCAACAAACTTTCAAAGAAGAGCCAATTAAACAGGCCTACTAACAACATTTGAAGTGTCCAAAATGGCTCAAAAAACAATGAGCAACAGCAGGGAAAAAAGAATACAACAGCATTTGACAACATAGATTAATTTACATGTTGTACCTCAATATTTTGTTGCGCAGTCCATGTATTCTGGCAGAGGCCTGTTCGGGCTTGATCTTCATGACCACCTTTTGGAGAAACTCGAACGTGTACTTCATTGCTGATGGGTATTCCAGATTTACAGCATAGATGATACCCATCAGCATTGCCACACCACATGCTACACTCTTCTCATGGTGAATCACTATGCTTTCTTCCACAACGACAGCAACATCAAAGACCTGATGTGGGACCGCATCCTGCTCCTCTTCATAGGCAATCAGGAGTCCAAGTTCCATTCCCTTCAACGCTTCATCCAGATGGTCATAATGGGCCTAAATAAAAATGAAATTAGATGCTGTAGATGTCGTTACATTTTATTTATTGGTTTCTTTGGTCGAGACAGTGCATGTTAATGAACATACATGGTTCTCATGCATGTAAACAAGCCACACCGGATTGTAGCCTTGGGCTAATTTGCGTCCGTCGTTTTAGAAAATATACTTTGATTTCAGTAAGACTGAATAAAATCTATTACATGTCTATAATGAATAGTGTTAATTACCTCTGTACAGTTTGCCAAATATTATTTTAAATACCATACATTACTCTAAACAGGTTTCTAAATGAGTTGTAATTATTGACGCAACTTAATTTGGATAAAATGTATCATACTCACATCACACAGCCGGAAAACATTGGATGAATCTTCTTTGAGGTAGAGTGGAAGTCCCAACAGAACAGCTGTCCTCTTCCTCTCATTTGTGTTCTGTAAAAGTTAAAAAAGTAGTTAATGACAAACTTTACTTCAGTTGCTTAATTTATTTCATCTTTATTTAACCAGGAAATTCCCACAGAGATTAAGAATCCCTTTTTCCTGGGGAATCATGGCCCCAGAGAGGAACCTACTGTACATAATTTTAGTGGTTTTGGAAACCGGAGTACCCAGAGAAAATCCACGCAGACACGGGGAGAACATTCAAACTCCACACAGAAAGACCCCGTCCAGGTGGGAATCGAACCTGGGATTTTCTTGCTGTGCAGCATGAGTGTTCACCACTGCACCACCAAAGTTGTATAGTTGTGTTACAAAAGACATGCCACCAAAACATTGTGATGTCAAAGAATATATATAAAAAAAAAAAACATTTTGGAATCAACCCCAAAGTTGGCTCTAATGTGCAAAGTTGAAATACCTCAAATTACTCACTTACATTTTTCAAGAAGCTCCTGTAAGAAGCGAAGGAGAGGAATACGTCTTCATTCAATAACTAATTTTTGAATATCAGTGGCACTCCATGAATCCAACATTTTGTTTGAGAACACATTAAACCGATCAAACACAAACTACACTGAAATCAAACTAGGGCTATGCAATTCAACAACATTGAATTGAGGACTTATTTCAATAATCCACATACTTTTAAATTGACAGATCTACATTCGAATCCTGTGGTAGTTCTAATAATATTTAGAGAAGTTTGGACATTAAGGAATATAATGTGTCGAATAATTCTGGGTTGCAAAGGATTCATAGGTTTAATCTTTTTATTTGTAGTAATTAGTTGAAAGGAATAGGCCACCGTTTTTCCATACTGAGATATGTGCTAACCTTAGACGAGTTCATCTGTACCTGTCAGGTCTCCACGTGTGCCTTCAGTCACGTAAACACAGCACAGACGGCGTTAGCATTAGCCTCTCTCTTCTCCTCTATAGCTCCAAACGAGGTGAAGATAGAAGCTACCAAGCTCTTTCACGTTTTCCCTATTTAAATATGGTTACGTGAAGTGTTACACTATAAAGTATAATTACACAAAATTAAACAATGTTGGTTTTCTAAGCAAATAAAAAGGGGAACTATATTGTAATAATACCAGGAGTACTTTGGCGTCCGCACAGTAAAGTGAAGATATTACTGCACAGATGTCGAAATATTCCTGGTGGCCTTACAATATAGTTCCCCTTTTTATCCGCTTAGAAAATCCACATTAGTCCATTCCATAGGAAAAACGTGGAAGTGTTTGGTAGCTTCCATCTTCACCTCGTTTGGAGCTATAGAGGAGAGGAGAGAGGCTAATGCTAACGCCTTCTGTGCTGTGTTTACGTGACTGAAGGCACACGTGGAGACCAGACAGGTACAGATGAACTCGTCTAAGGTAAAAACATATGTCAGTATGTAAAAACAGTGGCCTATTGCTTTAAAAAGATGCATGCTTTCTTGTTATTTATATGAACAAAGATGGATAGAACAACCTAAATATTTACATAAGAGTAGCATTCAAAAAATTTACTTATCGTGGCACAACGTCCTATATTTTTTTACTCAAGAGTACAGATACTACTAAGACTACTTACAAAAGTAGAGTTACTTCAAAAAACGTACGTACATGTACAACTGAGTACTACCCATCTCTGCTTAGAGAAGTATACTTACATCTTTCTCAAGGGAGGTCAGAATGGCACCCAAGGAGCGGCACCTTCCAGACTTGCTTGAGGATTTGTAGAGTTCCAGCAGTCGGGGTACAAGTGCATCGAGGCCATCGAGAAATGAAGGTAGCAGTTCTTGGGCAGTAACTCCTTCGAATTCAGCTCTTATCTAGAATAATACAAAACAATTTATGCAGGGCAAGCACACAAAACAGGAATTTTTCAACAGTTACATCACCTGTCTTTCTTGAAGCAATGCCGGCCATCGGTTGCGAATTTCTCTTAGTAGTGGTTCATCACCTACTATCTCTCTCCTTCGCTGGGCAAATGTTGACACCATCAACTCATCCACCATGTCACGATCGGGGATGGTTTTAAGCATTTCCCTCTCCATCTTCATACGGTTCTCCTCCGTTACTTCGACACTGTCACCTTGTTCTGGACAAAAGTGAACTTCGCCTTTTTTTGACTTTTTGACTTTTCTTTTTGCCTCTCCTCCTTTTCGCTTATTCACAACCACTTCTGGAAGTCCAGCAACTGCCAAGTCACGGCAGAAGTTTCCAACCTTATATTTAAGGCTATGGACCCACGAATACCATCCCGCTGCAGACCCAGGATCTCTTAAGCTTGGATGCTTGTCCACAAGTGCTCTCGCCACAATCTCATAATGATGACTTTCAGGATATGGGGTAATTTTACACATACCATCTGCAAGACAATCTAGAATGTCTGACTTCATTCCTTTGTTTACCTCTAGAAGGTATCCATCCTTTGCATATTGTGCATTGGCTTTCATTAACTTGAGTTCAGTGTCGTAGGAGAACTGAGGTATTGGGTAAGGGTCAGGCCACTCAGCCAAATCCACGGTACCAATAGAGTGGGTAGACAAGCTCCCCGTGTCCAGTGTAGAGTCAGAGCCTTCTCCCGAATCAGCAGTAAGAAGAACTTTCAATGTTGCTCGGTCTGCAGGAAGTTCTTGTATATCTTGCAGATTGCAGAGCGCGTTACCAAAGTCAGGGTCCTCAAATTGTACAGAAAAGCTACCTCTTATTCCCAATTTGTTTCGGAGTATCTCATAAAGTTTTTCAACAGTAGGTGGTCTTTCTTCAATGGTCAGGCGCCTTATGTCATTTGGAGATAGGATTACTCGTAGTAGCATTGTGGATTGCCTCAGCTAGAGAAAAGAAAAACAGTTCCTATTAGAGCTGGGCAATTAAATGAAATTTCATCGAAATCACAATCTCTACTTTGGTCAATCTCAATATCTGTCATAGGACTTACTAATTGTCAGGTTTATAACCATTTCCTAGACAGAAAAAGAACCTAGGTTTGATGTCTGGATGAGACAATGGGAGATATGTGTTAAATGATACAGGATGAAAGTATTTTTGTTTGAAGGTTTGAATTAAAGGTATGTCTATAAACGTTAATCAGCCACAAGTATTTAATTTATTTGTGAAAAAAAATAAAAATAATAATCAAAACATGAAAATCAATATAAATTTGTCTTATATAGTGCTTTTCCAGACGCTCAAAGCCTTGATTTAAAAGGACAGCCTGAAAATGGACATGCAACTGTTTCTGAAGTTTTGAAATGTTTACTTAAATGAATGAAATAGCGTTTGATGTTGGTGGGTTCCAAATAAAGACATAGTTCACACCGTAGTTTTTGGACTGGACAGGGTACTTTGTGCGTTTTTAAATGCACCGTTAGAGCCACATATGATTTTACAATTGTCGTGCAGTTTGGATAAATGCAGACCAACCCTCTTCTTCCGTGTCCATGTTTACCTTTGTAATGATTTAGTATTCTCTGTTCAATGTAAGTTGAGAAACTGCAAAATTTACAGCTCCACTTCATCCACGTACTTAGGTAAAGGGTAAGGCTCGTTCTTCCACCTGAAACACAAAAATGAAATTAAAATGCAATAAAACATTCTTAATGACTCCAATTTGAAGACAGTCCGGGTCAAACATGTTGTGTTTTTTACTCATTGTCTGTGAGAGTAAATATTACGCTGACAGAAAAGACAAAAGGGAGAGGGATATTGTACATCCAATTACACAATGGAGATCATTGTTTTTCACTCAAACTTGGCTGTAAATACTGTTTAAGTGGTGCTTGCTCGCAGTTAGTTTTGCACGTTAGCCTGTTAGCTTCTTCGTGATTCCATTAGTGTGTATTGGTGACTCTGACCCAGAGGCAGGGAAGTTGCAATTCTGGTTTTCTGGCCAGAGACACCAGGGTGAGATGAAAGGCCCCCCAATCATCCCATTAACACTTATTAAAAGGTAAACCAGTTACTTAGTACTGCTTTAACCAAGCACATTTTTCCCAGTTCGGCTTTACCTACATCTATGAAAATGCACTCTGTTCAGGTGGGGGTTGAGAGGTTAAGACGGTATAAAATAGCAATTTTGTATGCAATTTCTTAATTCTTAGTGCAATAAAAACCTAGCTCCCTACTCTCCTCATTACTTCTGCAGAGCCAACTTCCATTTTAACAGAAATTTAGATAAAAAAAAAAAAAAAATGTCAATAATGTGTGACGTTTCATTATATATTTCTCATACACATTATATATATATTAAAAAAAAGCAGTGAGTATTGGCACTGAGTCACACACAATCAACCATCAGAGATGTCTCAAGACTTTAAACCTTGTAATAATTTAAAAACTGAACAGCACAAAACATCAGATGTTTTGCAGCTTTATAATGGACAGGGTGACCTCCGATCAAATAAAAGAATCATTAATATCTAAAATGCTAGAACAGCCCAAACCAAATAGTTTACCGCACACAACTGACATATAATTTTAGTTTGAGGGGCAGATTCAAGATGGTACAGTGCAGGTGGATTTCCATACACTTCCAGACCTCCGTGAATGCGCGTTGTAAATTGAGGCGTGCACGCGCAATGTCCTTCAAGACAAAATACGCATCAACGCGCATCATAAAACACACAAAGCGTGCCCTCAGATTGAAAACAGAATCATCAATTCAATCTAAATGTGTTACAAGCACAAACGATTGGCACACATTGAATGTGAAACTTGGCCAAAACACAGACGAAATAGACTTTAACCTCTAAACCCCCATCTGAACCGAGCACACTTTCTTCAGTTTAGCTTTACCCAAAAATAAGAAAAGTTTCTGGAAAAAAAGCGTCAAAATAGCGACGAAAACAAGGATGAAAACCACACAAAAAAGTGACAGAAGGGCGAAAAAGAGAACCCAAACACAGCAGCAACGGAAAAGCAACAATTAGAATAGGAAAGTGACACAAAATAAACAATAACGCGACAAAAAAAAAGCGTTCGCGTAAATTGTTATTTCTACATTGTTTTTTGTTTTTTTGTCGCTGTTGTGTTGCATTTTTGTTAGATTTGCGTAACGCCAAATTGGAGAGAATGTGCTCTGTTCAGGTGGGAGATAAGAGGTGAAAAGGTTCACATGGTTACGTTCAAACCTTCGTGTGGTGCTGCGGGGGCTCGACTGCACTTCGGTAAAGTTAGCTTGATATTCACAGATTCGGACTTCCGCGGTCAATATCTCACGAAAGCTACGTTGTTAAACGAAAGTAATTGTGCCAAAATGATCACCTCTACATAGGCTAACTACTACAACATCGATTTTTAAAATCCAATGCGCTGTTTTAATGCAGAGAAATCCATTGAACCCAATGCGCCGCAAGTGCCGAGAAAATCACTTAGGGAGCGTCAACAAATGCCAATAGCAGCTGTGTAAACAAACAAAAGTTTTTATTTTAAGCCAAGTACACGCACTAAACTCTCAAATACTATAAATAATGGCCATATCTAACTACTACAACCTTTGTTTTCAGCATTTGTCTCTTTTTTATATTTTTCATGAATAAATATGAATATGAATTTTCAATAACTTTTTTTCAAAAAGGGGCGTGGTCACCAAATTCTCAGGTATGATCAATAACTAACATGTCTAACTACTACAACCTTTGTTTTCAGCAGAAATATCTTTTTTATATTTTTTATGATTAAATATGAATATGAATTTTCAATAACTTTTTTTCAAAAAGGGGCATGGTCACCAAATTCTCAGGTATGATCAATAACTACCATGTCTAACTACTACAACCTACAAGATATTTCTGCTGAAAACAAAGGTTGTAGTAGTTAGACATGGTAGTTATTGATCATACCTGAGAATTTGGTGACCACGCCCCTTTTTGAAAAAAAGTTATTGAAAATTCATATTCATATTTAATCATATTTATTCATGAAAAATATAAAAAAGAGACAAATGCTGAAAACAAAGGTTGTAGTAGTTAGATATGGCCATTATTTATAGTATTTGAGAGTTTAGTGCGTGTACTTGGCTTAAAATAAAAACTTTTGTTCGTTTACACGAAGCTGCTATTGAGAATGAGGGGTCACGTGATAATTTGGGCGGGGTCTAATCTGGTCGGCCATGTTGATAGGATCCTCCATCGGTTGCCAGGGGCAACGCCACTAACGCTAACGCTCCAGAGGTCTTTAAATTGAGCACGTTTATTAGTTCGGCAGTAGATACATCTACGATTACAACACTAGCAAGACAGTTAATGGAGAAAGTGAAGGCGAAAGGATATGGACCGTACAGGGAAAAGCAAAACAATGTTACTTGGAGAAGCTCTCAGACATACAACAGGTAGACCCATACGAGCTTCCTGCAGCGGAGTGGCAAAAATACCTAGACTTTTTTACTTCTCCGCGCACGTACATGGATATAGTCAATTACCTTGTTTTCGGTGTTAGTTATTACACAATGCAGGAGTTTAGAAGTCACAAGTCACTGGAGAGTTACGAGGCTTTCTGCTGTGGTTGGGTGCAGGACATGGCCATCTACAAGCCTCCAGGCGGTGAAAACACCGTTGTACTTGCAAAGGTAAGTTTTCATAACATGCGTTTTTGTGTGCTGTAATTACATTGCATTTAGCACACATTTCTTGACCATAATGACGTGTGTCATTAGATAGTTAGATAGTTAGCTAGGCAGCTAACTTAAGATGCACTTCAGTGTTTGCAACATTAACAGCTAGGTAACCTACACTTCTTAACTTTAAAAAAACAACATGAAGACATTTTAGGACGTACCCGAGTGAAAATGCAGAGAACACACTCTCATCAACTGGGGGGTGAGATCGAAAGTAAGGTCCTTTCTTCTTATTGCAGCCAACCAAGCCATCCGGCGTCTCTTCGTCAGGTCAGACACCTGCGCTCCCTGATGTTGTATCCATTTTGGTGGCCTAAAAAATTGTAAACCGTTGTTCCTACGTTTTCCTTTCTTATTGTGTGAGGTACTGGAGCAGTTTTTCACACAGCAATGAGCTCCAGGCATGGTAAAACAGAAATAGCGATGACCTCCTTTGCTACCGAGTTAACAACAACTGTTTGCCGCTGGGTGGGATCCTACCAACATGGCGGAGACGGGGAGGGGCTCTGTGCTATGACGTCAACTCCTCACTCTCAATTGGCATTTGTTGACGCTCCCTAAGTCCTTTTCTCGGCACTTGCGGCGCATTGGGTTCAATGGATTTCTCTGCATTAAAACAGCGCATTGGATTTTAAAAATCGATGTTGTAGTAGTTAGCCTATGTAGAGGTGATCATTTTGGCACAATTACTTTCGTTTAACAACGTAGCTTTCGTGAGATATTGACCGCGGAAGTCCGAATCTGTGAATATCAAGCTAACTTTACCGAAGTCTCGACTGCCCCGTCACTGCAGACCCGGTCTTATGCCCGCACCCGAACAGAGTCCGCATGTTGCGTGGAACAGCATTTAGGCAATGCTGCGCGGAAATTGTGTAGGTACCAAAATACATGCTCGACAGTTAAAGCCAACATTAGAACGTTACCTCTGCAAGGACAGGGCTGTGTAGCTGCTGACTCTTTTCGCGACCTCGACTTGTGTCTCTGCGACCCGGAAACTGAACTCCACCTCGTCTGTCAGAGAAAACATAATCGTGGAAAACGAAGCATTTGGGCAAATGAACAAGTGCACCCATTAATATGACAAATGCCGTCCCTTAATAAAAAAATAAATAAAATAAAAAACGCTCGCCAACGCCCCCCCTCCCCCAAGCTAGCTAGAGCACCACATGGCTTGCTCAACAACCAAAACATAACAATATTTATATGTGATTACAGCCACGGCTTTAATTAGTATGTGCCCATCTTTCATTTTTCTAAAACCCAAGCAAAATATAATGTACTTACTTTCAACACGCTCCTCGAAGAAGAACCTCAAACGGTAGGAAAAGTTGAGTTGTTGCCGCGAAGTGGACCGTAGGGCGGACTGATGTGAATAGTGTCCTTCCGCTAATAGGCCTACGTCAGTTTTATCGAAATTAATTAATCTCAACAGCTTTTTTTTAGGATGTTACGTTAGATTTATTATTAAAAGTACGTTTTCAGCCCTCTAAAGTCTGTATAATATTTAGTCTGCATTTCCAGCACTATATGTGCGGCGCAATAATATGGGTGTGCGATTAAAAGATCCGGTCTCTTTAGAAAACTTACCAAACTAAGTCAAGTTCATGTATTTAAATGTTACCCCAACACACCTCAAAGAGTTATTCACCTTTGAACTTATTGGCATAAGTTAAACATTTTAAACAATCATTGTCATGTGAAAACAAACTACAATCTAACGTTACAATAACAAAATGGGCGTACGACTTTTAACAGTGTATTATTATTATTAATAATAGTTATGTGTGTATATGTATTCATCTTAATTCTCTAAGAAACAAATGATTTGATAGAGTTGAATGTCTTTTCTGTTATTGTGATTGTTTAATTGGTTGGTTTAATGATTTACTCTTATTTACTTTTCTTGTCCTACCCCGGTGTGGTTCTTTCGTAGATGGTTTTACTCTGTACCATTTGTCACTGTATTGCATTTTATATTCAGTCATTCTTACCCCCCCTCCCCCCATTTAGATTAATGCTAATACAACCCCCCACCCCACCCCCCACACACACACACGTGCGCACACGCACACATACCTCCTCCTTCCTCCTTCGTCGTGCAAGGACGTGTCTTTAGTCCGCTCCTGCTTCTGAACGGCTTGCTATCTCCTGTTTTTGTCTTTTTTTCCTGGAGTTTTGCCACAGACAACTTTAACAGAATGGAAATGATTAACTGGTCCCTCAACGCAATTGATTCTATCTTTTCAACACGTAAGCGCGGGTCTGGAGAGCCCGTGTGCCCGGACGGGACTTCACCTGCGGGGTATACGCTTGACAGCTGGAACAAGTTTCAGCCCCTCTGTCTGTCGACCCTGTCCATTGAAGATTCGGAAGACGTATATATCTTTGGCATTTTGGTGGTGGGGATCCTCCTGTTTGGGTTTGGAGCGGTTCTCTTCTACCACAAATTCGGAGGCATGGCAGTTCGCAAGATTCACGACCTGCTGGCCGACAAAATTGATGGGATGTACAAGGAGCTTAACCGAGTCGTGGTTGAGAGCGCTGTGGCTGGACAACGAAGAGTGGTGTTAGTGGAACAGTTGATCAAAGATCTCGCAGCTCGTTCACTTGATGGACATAAGACTCTGGAATTGAGATTGAATGACATTGTCTGCCAGGCTTGAACTCTCTGACCCGGCTTGGATTTGCCCCTGTGTACGGGGTCTGAGGGCGCTGTAATTCGGTCTAATTGGATTTAATAGAATATCTGCCTGTTTTTGACTGCTAAAATGCATACAATATTGTCCCTCGTTACAGGAGATGTGTTCTCTCCTTGCTGTGTCTTCCCTCCTCTCTTATCTCACATTTCTCGGGCCAAGGCCATAATAATAAATCTGGACTCTACAACAATTCACACTCTTTCAGTTCCAGCTTGGATCCCTCTCCCCCCGCCTCCCTCTGATCTCTCCCTCCCCTCCCCTCCTTACTGTGTTTCCGACTCACCCCCTCCCTGACCCCGCCCCCCTCTGACAGCCACATTGGACCGGCAGGCCGGAGGTGCTCATCCCGTGAAAAAAATCCGTGGTTTATACAAAGCACAATGTTTTCTATCCAACTGTCTGTTGTTACCTGAATGTTATTGCTCTCTGCTGTTTCTTGCTGCACACAGCGCCGCAAATGGCGAAGTGGCACGCTCTCTGCCAAGACAATTTCCAAGTGATAACTTTGTTACTCACGTGGCAATAAAAATGATTCTGATTCTGATTCTGATACGCACACACACATGCACACATATAAATTCAGTTTATATATTTGTTTAAGTCCGTTTCTATAACTAATATTACTATTGTTTGTACTGCTTGCTTATTGACTGTCCATATGTATATGTTCACCTGGTGTGTAAATAAACCTTTTTTTTTTTAAGAAAAATAAATAAATATATATTATAGATAAGAGCATTCATCCATCCATCCATCCATTTTCTTCCGCTTCATCCGTTGCCGGGTCGCGGGGGCAGCAGTCTAAGCAGAGACGCCCAGACTTCCCTATCCACACACCTCCTCCAGCTCGTCCGGGGGGACTCCAAGGCGTTCCCAGGCCAGCTGAGAGACATAGTCCCTCCAGCGTGTCCTGGGTCTTCCCCGGGGCCTCCTCCCCAGGGAGGCGTCCAGGAGGCATCCGGAACAGATGCCCGAGCCACCTCAACTGGTTCCTCTCGACGTGGAGTAGCAGCGGCTCTACTCCAAGCTCCTCCCGTGTGACTGAGCTCCTCACCCTATCTCTAAGGGAGCAGCCACTCTGCGGAGGAAGCTCATTTCGACCGCTTGTATCCGCGATCTCGTTCTTTCGGTCATTACCCAAAGCTCATGACCATAGGTGAGGGAGGGAACGAAGATTGACCGGTAAATCCAGAGCTTTGCCTTTCAGCTCAGCTCCCTCTTTACCACAAGAGATGCAATGATAAAAAACACATTGGTCCGTACAGAGCAGAGACCACTGTCCTTAGACCCTCCTGCATCAGAGGAACAACAATGTGACACTGAGACAATTATTTAACATTTGTGTTTTGATTTAGAACAAGCGGCCGATCTGAACAGAATCAAAACGCAGACAAATGTGACTGAGCAACAAGTGGCGTCCCTGAGGAGAGACCGAGCAGGTAACAAGAAAAACGGGCCAAACCCTTCCAATGTGGTTTAGTTTTGTGGATGGAAAACAAACAAAACCAATCATATCTTCTCTTTCAGTGGGACAAGTGGCTTTTTCAGCTGGTCTACTGGGCTCAGGGTCAGGAGTGCTTGGACCGTTCAACACCCACACTCCCCTGGTCTTCAGACACATCATCTCAAACATTGGAAACGCTTACAATCCAAACACTGGTGAACAAACTCAACCAATCAGCAGTGACGGGTCCTGAAGAAGTCGCACTATCACAGTTTGCAGAGGGACTATAGCACCTGGACTGATACATTCACACCCCTCAAAAGTGGTTTTACCCATGGCATTCTGAGGGAGGCTGGGGAAATACCTCACATCTGCAACCAGTTTCAATATTTAGAAAATGAAACTAAAATAGACTGTGAATTTGCAAGAATGGAAGTAAGTCACAGCAACAATCCGGTGTAAGTGCATTAAAGGATTCGTGTTAGCTTAGCAGTAGCACCTGAGTAGCTCCGACTCGGCCTGCTCCTAAATATTTATGGTTAATTTTTGAGGCTACATCTGGTCCATTCCTATTTTCCTAAACTCATGACACTTGACCACTTTTGGGGTTTATGGACGAATCCCACAGTATTTTAAAAATGTGTCTGGATAAATCCTTTACTTCAACATATTCATCAATACAACCTGTCTCATTCAAACTATAAAAAGGCCAAAGTTATTTTAGATTCCAGAGTAATCTATGAACATGTTTACTGTTAACTACAAATCAATCTGAAGAGACTCAAAGGGGTTTTTAGAATCAGTGTTTATCGGTTTGTCAGTGATCCGTCTCGAGACACTATCACCATGTGGCTCGGAGCACACTCTTACTAACTAATCCAAATGCTCTCAGGATTCTTCATCGCACCAGTGAAAGGAGCCTATCACTTTGAGTTCTACATCGGATCTCATGGTACCAATCATAACTCTGCGGCTGCTCTGGTGAAGAACGGAGAGCATGTGGTCATTGCACATGAACGATCATCAGATGGACATTCTAACGCCGCTAACGGAGCCACTCTGCTGCTGGAGGCCGGAGATGTGGTCCTCCTGCGTCTGTGGGAACATAATACAATCTATGATGATCACCGCCACTACAGTTCATTCAGTGGTCACCTGCTGTTCCCCCTGTGAGCCATGTTGTAGCTAACATTACTTAAACTTTATATAATATATATATAATGTATACTTCATGGACATTGGTCTGCCCCTTATGAGCCGTATGACGATTTTTATCCTCAGTATTTCTGGTGTTTGATTCTCTGATCTGTGTTGGCAAATTCAACGGTTTTTTAAAGTCCTCTGAGAAAACTACTGTTGTAATTTAGGGCGAAACAAGAATACATTGAATTGAACTGTAATAAACAGGGACTTGCTCCATCTCCTGCTACTCATCGAGTCACTCACTGAAAAAGGATTTGTCCCTGTCTCTAAGTCCGTCTCCTGTTTCTCTGCATTAGCTGCACTACACACACGCAAATGAAGCTTACGCGTAAATTCAGACTGGAAGACCAAAAGAGACGTCATGCCGCACACACTGACTCCTCCACCTCTGTACTGTCTCCTCCCCCTCTACACTGACTGGAGCTTCAAAAAGCACCTTAAATCACAGCTCTTCAGGAAGGCCTCCTGCTGATCTGCAGCCCAGGCCTTTTTTCTTTACTTGTTTTTATTCTGATGTTCTGTAAGTAAGTAATCTTTATCTATATAGATGTAGACTGGCCTCCTGCTGGGACTCTGAGGAGCACAAGGACTGGCCTCCTGCTGGGACTCTGAGGAGCACAGGGACTGGCCTCCTGCTGGGACTCAGAGGAGCACAGGGACTGGACTCCTGCTGGGACTCTGAGGAGCACAGGGACTGGCCTCCTGCTGGGACTCTGAGGAGCACAGGGACTGGCATCCTGCTGGGACTCTGAGGAGCACAGGGACTGGCTTCCTGCTGGGACTCAGATTAGCACAGGGACTGGCCCCCTGCTGGTCTGGACTAAACATGGGGAGTCTGAATTTCAGGTTCAAACTTCTGTATCTTGTCTCTGGCATTGTTTACCTATGTAAGTTCTTCCCCTTAATCCATTTCTAGGTTGGGGGTGGGAGTCAGAGATATACCCAACTCACAGAGCACCCGTGTAAGAGTTTCCATACATTGTGCATAGTTAGAGCATAGTTGATCTTATTCTGACAGTTGGCATCACGCCACTGTCTGTGCCCCATCATCAGACACTCTCAGACCTGCAGAAAAGAGACAAACTTCACGATGAATGGGTGCTCCCAAGCTCAGGGGACTGCCACCTTTCTCATCAAAGGAGCCATTTTGGCCTCGTTTCTGGGACAGGGACTTAGAGGAGTGTAGGGGGCAGTGTGGGTAATGGGACAGGGCAGTAGAGAAGTGTAGGGGGCAGTGTGGGTAATGGGACAGGGCCTTAGAGGAGTGTAGGGGGCAGTGTGAGTAATGGGACAGGGCAGTAGAGGAGCGTAGGGGGCAGTGTGGGTAATGGGACAAGGCCTTAGAGGAGTGTAGGGGGCAGTGTGGGTATTGGGACAGGGCCTTAGAGGAGTGTAGGGGGCAGTGTGGGTAATGGGACAGGGCCTTAGAGGAGTGTCGGGGGCAGTGTGGGTAATGGGACTGGGCCTTAGAGGAGTGTTGGGGGCAGTGTGGGTAATGGGACAGGGCCTTAGAGGAGTGTCGGGGGCAGTGTGGGTAATGGGACTGGGCCACTGTCATTGAATGTGTCCTGGATCATCACCACTGTCTTTAGAACTTCCTGCATCGACAAGGAACACCCTTGACAAAACACACTGTTTAAAGGCCCTGGGAGTTCAAGCAGTGTCAAGACTTCCTTTTAAGGTGTGTTGCATTGTAATGTTTTCCTCTGATATGAATGAGAATGTCTAAAATAAACCAGTGACGTACCACAGATGAAGGCCTAGATCTCCTTGCGTCCCATCGCTTCCAGTTGATTGTTTGACTGTTCGTGAGACGGGTTCGAGTTGGACTTTGGAGACTGCCTAATCTGATTGAAATAATCCTTCTCACAGATTTGGTCAGTAGGGAAATGTTGAGGAAACAGGATTCTCTAATCAAATGATCAGAGCCTGCTCCAAGTGATGAGTGTCTTTATGAGTGCGAGGGATAAGTGTGGGCTTTGCTCCTCGTAAATAGAAACACTCCATGTCGTAAACTGTCTCCAGCGGAGCTCAGTAAACGAAATACCTCCTCCACGTGTCTTTATTGTATTATCTGCAACGTATCTCCTCTGTGCCATTTGAACATAATTATTGTTCAATTAGATCAGACCTGCCCTAAAACAGCAGTCGTCTCAGAGGACTGCACACAGTTGTGGATTCGCCAACGACAGATCAGAAAATCACAGGAAATGCAAAAATAACAAACACACACAAGCCATAGGTCCATAAGGAGCAGGACTGAGACTGTAGACCCAGGACTGAGGCTGTAGACCCAGGACTTAGGCTGTAGACCCAGGACTGAGGCTGTAGACCCAGGACTGAGGCTGTAGACCCAGGACTTAGGCTGTAGACCCAGGACTGAGACTGTAGACCCAGGACTGAGACTGTAGACCCAGGACTGAGGCTGTAGACCCAGGACTGAGGCTGTAGATCCAGGACTGAGGCTGTAGACCCAGGACTTAGGCTGTAGACCCAGGACTGAGGCTGTAGACCCAGGACTGAGGCTGTAGATCCAGGACTTAGGCTGTGGCTCCAGCACTGAGGCTGTAGATCCAAGACTGAGGCTGTAGATCCAGGACTGAGGCTGTAGATCCAGGACTGAGGCTGTAGACCCAGGACTGAGGCTGTAGATCCAGGACTGAGGCTGTATATCCAGGACTGAGGCTGTAGATCCAGGACTTAGGCTGTAGACCCAGGACTGAGGCTGTAGACCCAGGACTTAGGCTGTAGACCCAGGACTGAGGCTGTAGACCCAGGACTGAGGCTGTAGATCCAGGACTTAGGCTGTGGATCCAGGACTGAGGCTGTAGACCCAGGACTGAGGCTGTAGATCCAAGACTGAGGCTGTAGATCCAGGACTAAGACCGTAGACCCAGGACTGAGGCTGTAGATTCAGGACTGAGACCGTAGACCCAGGACTGAGGCTGTAGATCCAGGACTGAGGACCAAGACTGAGGCTGTAAACCCAGGACTGAGGCTATAGATCCAGGACTGAGGACCAAGACTGAGGCTGTAGACCCGAGGCTGTAGACCCAGGACTGAGGCTGTAGATCCAGGACTGAGACTGTAGATCCAGGACTGAGGCTGTAGATCCAGGACTGAGACCGTAGACCCAGGACTGAGGCTGTAGATATCCAGGACTGAGGACCAGGACTGAGGTTGTAGACCCAGGACTGAGGCTGTAGATCCAGGACTGAGGACCAGGACTGAGGCTGTAGATCCAGGACTGAGGACCAGGACTGAGGCTGTAGATCCAGGACTGAGGACCAGGACTGAGGCTGTAGACCCAGGACTGAGACTGTAGATCCAGGACTGAGACTGTAGATCCAGGACTGAGGCTGTAGATCCAGAACTGAGGACCAGGACTGAGGCTGTAGACCCAGGACTGAGGCTGTAGACCCAGGACTGAGGCTGTAGACCCAGGACTGAGGCTGTAGATCCAGGACTGGGGACCAAGACTGAGGCTGTAGACCCGAGGCTGTAGACCCAGGACTGAGGCTGTAGATCCAGGACTGAGACTGTAGATCCAGGACAGGCTGTATAGATCCAGGACTGAGACCGTAGACCCAGGACTGAGGCTGCCGATATCCAGGACTGAGGACCAGGACTGAGGCTGTAGACCCAGGACTGAGACTGTAGATCCAGGACTGAGACTGTAGATCCAGGACTGAGACTGTAGATCCAGAACTGAGGACCAGGACTGAGGCTGTAGATCCAGGACTGAGGCTGTAGATCCAGGACTGAGGCTGTAGACCCGAGGCTGTAGACCCAGGACTGAGGCTGTAGATCCAGGACTGAGGCTGTAGACCCAGGACTGAGGCTGTGCAGCCCGTGAGTCCAGTCCATACATCATATATTTTGTTCTTAACATTGAACTCAAATAATTAGTAAAAGTTAAAATAAAAGTCTACAAATGTCCGTCTGCAACACTCAGCCTTATGTCCAGTTCTGGTTCAGTCCAAACAAAAAGTCCAGACTCTTTATGTTCAGAAAATAGAAAAGAATACTAATAATAATAATAATAATAACAGTAATAATAATAATAATAATAATAACAGTATTAATAATAATAATACTAATAAGAATAATAAGAATAAGAATAGTAATAATAATAATAATAATAATAATAATAATAATAATAATAATAATAATAATGGACTGTGGACTCACCACCTGCAGAGGGTCAGTGAGGGGCTGGTGCTATGAGACTTGGGTGGCATCTCTGACTGCCACCCCCCTGACCCAGAAATGGATTAAAGGGTAGAACATGGATGGATGGATGGATAATAATAATGATAATAATAATAACACATTTACAGTCAAACTTGTGTTGCCAGAAGCCTGTGACTTTGCTTAGTTCTGGTCACAGATGCAAATTGTGTGTTTTTCACTTCCTTGTGAATCTGCTTAAAATTAAACAAATGTCTGGTGTTATGTTTTTGTTTGTGGCCCCGCAAACTGCAAACCCCAAGGAAAGCCTCATTCTGCTCTCTGATTGGATAATCTGCATGAAACAGAAATGTTATGGAGGTATTTCAGAATAACTGCATTTGGTGGATCACTTTGATCACATGTCAACCTCTTTGGGGCAAATCACTTCTACATAAAACTTCATGCAAAAACAAATGATTTATGTTTTTAGTGTCCTACATCTTCTAAAATCCCAAAAATAAAAATTGACAGTACTTGCTTCAGGAGTGACCTTTAACAACAACAAATGTGAAGTTGGTAGCAACAGTTATGGATTTGTATCAACTCTTTTGGACATTGGTGTCTGCTCCTGATGGACCGATGGCTCCATGTGTTTGTATCGTTGCATTTCTTGTGTTTGACCCGGTCTGGGCTGGTCCGGCTCAGAGGGGCCATGACACGTGCAAGGACATGCTTGTATTCTCGTGCCGAGAGTGGGGGTGTACAGGAAACAGAATTATCCAATCAATTCTTGTAGCATCATTTTTTTTCCTGGAAAACGGGTTTACAGCCTGGTCCAAAAGTGGCTTGAATTGAATTGAAGTAAAGTCTCGTTCTGAAAAAGTCAGATATGAAGTGACTTTTTATTCTGAGACACGTCTGAGATATTTCTGTCATTTAAGAATATTTCGTACTTTGTCACGTGGTGAAAATAAAGAAGGACCCGAAAATATTTAGTCAGATTTAATTTGTGTGAATAAAAGTCCAAGGTAAACACAAACTCACAGATCCAAACGGTACCAGGAAGACGGACAGAGTCAAAGAACCAGCAACAGTTGGGAGCACAGGTACATATAGTATTTACACAGCTTGAACTGTTGCACATTCTCTCATGTTTACAACCATTAACACAAGATTTATTTTGTTTATTTTTACTGAAAGCTCACACACACGTTCTGAAACAACTGTGAGGTGTGACCCGAGGCCTTTTGCTGCGTCTCGAGAAAGAGGAAGACCGCTCTCTGACTAAAGCTTAAGGGAACCAATGAAAAAACAACTTTGTGACTGTGTGAAAGCAAATACCACTCTCATGATGTCACAAACTGGCTCTTGGTTCGCACAAAAATGGAATCTGTATGTTTTAAAATGTACAAAAATAGAGTAGTTATTTAAAAGGGTGCTACTGCCAGGTGAGCGACAAATGGGGGCTCGTGCGGGATCTGAACCCAGGACCTCTCGCACCAATGGGAGAGCTGATTGGGACCGGCCACATTCAAAAGTGCTGTCAGGAAGTCAGTCGAGTCTCTCAACTATTGGATGGATCCTGGAAGGAGGAGAAAGCCAGCAGCAACTCACAAACCAGACTAGACTAGGATCGTCATGTTGTTTAAAGCAGAGAAAAGTCCCAAACACAGGGACCTTTAACAAAAGTATTTCTGCCTCATGAGCTGCTCCCACAAACATTAAGTACATCTGTAACAGTACAAATATGATCATTGTGGCATTAGGTGATGAAGAAGACACTGTGAGACTTTTACTACTGTGAGAAAGCAGCAGTGGAGTAAAGGGAATCTACAGGTCTGGGTTGAACCACAGAGTACGGTGTAACACTGGTGTCAAAAGCCACCTGTTTGACTTGGCATATGCTCTTGGGCCATTGTTACTCTTTGGCTGCGGAGCGAGTGGTCATGTGACCGCAGCCACCCAATCAGTGTTGCTATATGCGTGAACCTGGAAGCGGCGCATACGCGAGGG